TGCAGCTGTGTGGGAACATCACTCCCACGGTCACTGGAGTCAAATTCTTTGAGCTGAGAAAAAATTAACTAGTGGATCTGGGGCCACTCACAGCCAGGAAGGGTCTTGCGGGAGGCCGGATCCCGCCGCCAGGGCTAAGAACTGGGCTTGCTCTGGCGTTCACCACTCAGGGGATGCTGCACCGGCCTCCTGCCGACTCCTCGGCTCCTGCTGATGGGCAGCAGCGCCACCTGCTGGCCCTGAGGCTCTCCCTAAGCACTGCTGACGGGGGCCCACCGCCAACAGTTGTCTTCTGTAATTTCCAAATTTCCTTCCCCAACCAGCCCCGGCTCTGAGTCCGGACTTTTCCAGCTGGAAAATGCAGCTGGAGAGTTATTTTAAAATTAGTGTAAATCTTTTGGGAACTACTTGTATATAAACAGCAAACATTTTATGCTCATCCTTTTACCCCTGGTTTAAAATCAAAAGCAACAAGCACCTATAAACCAGAGACACTGTAGGGGGGAAGAGAGGGTTTGAGGGATAACGTCAAAATAAGTGGTGGGTGGGAATTGTATGGGGATTATAACCAAGATGAAAATGCATACATTGTACAAAAATGAAAAAATGATGTAAAAATATATATAAAAAATTAAAATAAAATAAATAAAATTAGTGTTAACATATAAATGTAAGATCCGACGGCCTATCCAGAGGGAATGAGATCTTACACATCCTGGCGGCAGCAGAATTTGTACAGTGAAGGGGGTCGGGGAGCTCTCGGGCTGGGGTGGGTTGTGGGGCTTGTCTGGAAGCTGCATGTTTGCACAGCAAGCACTGTTTCCTTGCTTGGGCTGTGCACTTGTTTGGGGATGGCAAGGAAAAGAGGGACCGGGACTGATGGGCATCATGGGATTGACACAGCCACAAAACACGGCTTGATTAAGTCACACCAGGAGGTATTTGGTGTTCCTGCCACTCCCCCCACTCAGGCAGCAGGGTCTCAAGGGGGCCAGTGAGAGCTTCCACCTGGGTTTTTTTACACCTTCCAAGTGAACAGAGATGGGAAAATCTCCATGTGTTCTCCAAAATGGTGGAAACAATTTTTTTTTAACTCCTCCCCAGTCTACATATTCATTCTCCTAGAAAGCAGGTAACTCACCTTCCCACCCTGCTGCCTAGCCAGAAGTCAAATAAGTCACCAACCATGCACACCCTAAGGTGTCCTGTTCACAGAGAAACCTGGGAATGGACTGGACTCTTGGGTTTCTGAAATGAAATGAGCACAATTCTTCTGCATCTGGGGGTCTGGAGAGTAGAAGGCCCATCTCTCCCCACCCAGAGTCCAGTCTATGGGACATTGGAGGCCTCTTTGATCTGTCCGGTTTCTGAGGTTTGTCATCCTGCACAGAAGCCCACCAGTCACAGGAGGACCTGTGTGAATGGCCTGTGAATTGTCTGGCTGCCAAAGGCAAAAGAGTTTCAAGATGAAACTTTCTGTGTTATTGAACGCCTCTACGTGCCGGCACCATGCTTTGCACATATTCCATTATTTCACACTGCCTCATATGGGGAAGGTACTGGCATTATCAGCCTATTTTACACTTGTAAATAAAGCTGGGGCACAGCAAGTTTAAGGAGCAAGTTAAGCTCAGGCTCAATAGCTGTAAGTGGCAGGAAGGGTAGGAAGTCAGAGACAGTCTGTGCTCCCTTTCTGGGGTGATCCTCCCTCCCAGTTACTGTGTCTGCTGTGGTTCCTCCAATTATCTCAGCTGCCAAGAAAAAAGGCAGTGGGTCACAGGGCAAATTGGGATCCTTTAAAATACTTGAAGGAGTGAAACTGGGCAATAGAGCTATTACCCGCTTTCCTTGGGCCCGGTGGAGGCTGCAGGATAGAGGGGAATCAGAGACAAATTCAACCTGTAGCATTTGCCAGCAGAGGGCTGGTGATAGGGAACCTGACCCCAGAGGGCCTCACTGTACAAGAGGTAGGAGGCCTCCCAGGGCTGCTTCGCAGAGTGTGAGGGCATCTCCAGGACAAGGCTGTTACCACTCTCCTTTTCCCCAAGTCTTTCCCAATGAAGCAAATACAGGCTTTCACTGCTCTTGATAAACTCAAGAACAGTCCAATACCGATGGAGCAGAGATGTGGCTTGCGCTGCCTTCCCACAGGTCTGCCATCTCAGCCTGGTTGCTAAAGCTTGGTCAGCCAGGGTCTTTTCTCTACAACAGGCCCCCTGTCTATCTCACAGGGCTATTACATTTAATTTTGTATGGGTGTTTAAAAAGCACATCAGGGCCTCCCCGGTGGCGCAGCAGTTGAGTGCTGGGCTGCGAAGCTGCCCACAGCCTCTGCAGCTTGCTGGTTCGATCCCCAGCCGCCGGAGAGGGTCCCACATGGCGCGGCAGACCTGTACTGCCCGCTGCTCCCCTCAGCAGTGTGTTTCGTCAGTCTGCCTGTTCTGTTCCCTGCTCTGGCTCTGATGAATTCTTTGTCACCCTCCCCTGCATCTGACTGTACCCAGTGCTTGTATAAATAAATAATCTTTAAAAAAAAAAAGCACATCAATCTAAAATTTAAAATAGTAATACAAGACTCAGTCACTCATTATTTTCAATGCAAAGAATAATTCTTGGTTTTCATGAATGACATGTTAAGTTTAAAGCAACATTTGGCAGAACTATCTCACGGTCACTGGATAGCTGCAAATTAAATCGTGTTATTGTATAGAAAACCCTCGCCCAGCATTCCCATGTACAATGCTGTCTGCTTGGGCTTTCTAAACTATCTTTAAATAAAGACTAGACTGGAATTGGATTTGAGTGTTGACACCTTAATTATTTGAATATAAAGGTACAGGGCCTCCTGGGTGGCGCAGTGGGTTGAGTGCAGCGCTGTGAAGCTGTCCATAGCCTCTGCAGTGCAGGTTCGATTCCTGGCTGGCCAGGGAGATACCCACATGGTGCGGCAGACCTCTCCTGCCTCGCCTGCTGCTCCCCTCAGCAGTGTCTTCAGTCCGTCTGCCTGTTCTGCTCTCCGCTCTGTCTCTAGTGAATTCTCTCACCCTCCCACGCCTCTAACCTGTACCCCGGTTCTTGTATAAATAAATAAATCTTTAAAAAAAATAAAGGAACAAGATAGAAGCACAAGGTAAGCAGGTGAAATGAGACGAGAGGGCCCTGAACACTAGCACACTGGGTCACAGGAAGAAAGGCTGGTCTAAAGCATCCTGGAGCCAGAGGCGTGAGGCAGGGTGTCTGGGAACCATCTCTGTACCTGCAAATGATTAGGTTTGGGCCCAATCAGTCTCTCTGATAAAACTTCCTTTTCCCTTTTATGGACCTTTGTGACAGCCTGAGGTCCTGATTGTTATTCCATTATCCTGCCTGGACCATAGCAACAGGGTTTCTGTGTAATGACTTTCACACCACTAATTAAAAAGTACCGGTTATGCATCTCTTTCATCCCTGTTTTATTTTATACTTTTTGCTGTCATATAGGGATAGAGCTCCTTGGCCAGTTCTTCTTCAATGTTTCTTTACCTTTATGGAAATAACACATCCTGTTACAACCATTTCAGAATGAATGCTAAAATGATGTTTAGATCTCAAAAGGAGGATTTAATAGTTCAGTGAAATTTAATAGTAGGCAATTTATGTCAATTTCCAGGTAATATAAGTCAGCTCCAATATATTCCTTCAGAGGCATCCAGAGCTGGACATTAGGTGTCAGGAATACTTCTCACAACTCTGATGAGACCGAAGAAATGCTAAGGCTGACGCGCCAATGGGGAGAGCGGGGGGAGTGGGGGTGGGTAAGAGAACACAGAGAGAAGGAAGCACAGCGGCCTATAGTGGTGGACTCTGGGTGAGTTGGTAGCAGGTGTGCTATGGTGGTGATACCTGATGGGGGTATACCAATGTTACCTCCATTATAAGCAAATATAAATTATTTTTTTAAAGATTTATTTATTTATGCATACAAGAGCTGGGGTACAGGCCAGAGGTGTGGAGAGGTTTCACTAGAGACAGAGTGGGGAGCAGAACAAGCAGATTGAAATACACTGCTGAGGGGAGCAGTGGGCAAGACAGGAGAGGTCTGCTGTGCCATGTGGGTAGCTCCCTGGCTGGCTGGGAATCAAACTTGTGCTGCAGACAGCTTCACATTGCTGTGCTTAACCCCTTGAACCATGAGGGAGGCCCTGGGACAGATTCTTAAGATAGTTACAATCAAGAAGAGTGACTTGAAAATAGACTTTCTTCTAAGTCTAGGTGCTTGGTTATGGTGCAAAATATAAGATGACTTATTTTATTTTTAAAGATTTATTTATTTATGCATACAAGAACCGGGGTGTAAGCCAGAGGTGTGGAGTGTGAGAAGATTTACCAGAGTGGGGATCAGAACAGGCAGACTGACTGAAATACACTGCTGAGGGGAACAGTGGGTGAGACAGGAGAGGTCTGCTGCACCATGTGGGTCACCTCCCTGGCCTGGGATCCAACTCGTGCTGCAGAGGCTATGGATTGCTTCATAGTGTGGTGCTTAACCCCTTACACCATCAGGGAGGCCCAAATATAAATTATTTTTAAAAGAAAGAAACGCGATGGCTGAGCTATTGCGGGTACTGCTGTCCAGGACTATAGTGTAGATTCATTTTGTTCCTAAGGCTTTTTCCTTTGTCCCAGCAGCATATGAAGCTCAGTAGAGAGCTGCTTCATTATTAGAAATGGGGGTGTTGCTGTTCCTCTTTCTTGCCTTTGAGTACTCAAGGAGCAACACGCTGTGTAGTGTAGTCAATTGGTGAAAACTGAGGAATATCTCCACAGAGGCTCAGTACTCCAGCAAATCCATGGTACTGGCACAGGAGCAGAAAGCGTCAAAAGTTTGCCATTGCAAATCCATCTTTCTGATTTGGCCCTGGGGGTACATCTATTATGGGAGTGAGTAGGCCCAAGGTCCTTTCTCTAATGCAGAAAAATAAATAAAAAGCAAAGCAGTTACTTATTTTTTTTTTACATTTAATTTGATTTAAAGTTTTTTTCTTTTATTTTTTAATTGAGGCAACTTTGGTTTACAGCACTGTATGTGATTCTGAGGCACGAATTCACACCTCTTCAGAGATATGTTACCACACTCATGAGTAAGTGACCAAGTTGAAGGCAAATGCACTCTTCTCAGATATGTTAACTTAGGGAAATGTGGGGCATAGGTAACAACTCGCATTAGGTACATGGAAACCATACATTTGAAGTTCTAGGAACATATGAGCTTATGAGGAGTTTTCTAAACACCTTATATATTCAGTATTTTAAAAAATGCACTGTGGTCTTGAATTTCAGATGCATATGTAGTTGCAGGGAAAGAGTTTGTGTTCAATGATGATTTGCAAAATTACATCTTCAACACAGTACTTAAAAAAACTAGTTTTATGGGTCAAATACCTGTTTAATCTTAAGATCTTGAGTAAAATCTTGGCCAAAAGTTACAGCAATTAATATTGGTACTAGGTAGGTTAAATTTAAAAATTTTTTGTTCAGGAAGGAACATGCTTGGAATTCAGTATGAACCAATAATTGTTGTGTTTATTCTGAAGCTTTTATTTTGGAGTCCTATATCACAAAATGACATGTTTATTGTTTACAACCGGTATTAGAAATTGAGATGTTTTTATTTCTACTATTTTAAAATAAAACTGTAGATAATGCTCCAAACCATCATCAAAAAATGCAGAGCAAACCGTTCTGTATATAAACTGTACATAAAAACAAGGCACTATACATTAGGGGGAGATATTAAGGTAGAAGGGTGGATTCGCACAGATTCTTCAGAGCCCATGCCAGTAAGTACACATTCTTTGTTCATTTTAGCACCGAAGCAGCACTCAGAACAAGTCAGACCTAAGGAGGAGACACTTCTGAACGTGTGTGAGGATACATATTGGTGGCAGAGCTAAATCCACAGAAGCAACTCCGTCTATCTTTTAATATTTTTTTGATGCCAAAACCAAAAAAATCTTAAAAGAGCATGAATACATATCTTGCTTCGTTAAATACATATTTGATTTATGTGGTGTTTATATAAATATATATGCATATATATGTATATATATATATTTTAGAATCCACAAACTATCAAAATAATACTTTATAAAGAGAACTGCTTCCAAAAAAATAGGCATTGCTCAGCTGGAACAGGAGGGCGGTGCTGCAGCAGCCACTGAGGAATGCTGCCTAAGTGCACATAAGGATACTTTTATTAAGATTACCTGCTGAATTGTGGAAAGAGAGTTTCCAAAGAGTTCTCTTCAACATTTACAAAATACACAACTCCGGGACAAGCAGTAGAGCTAACAACTTCAGGCCTTGAAATTTCTGATTGAAAAATATTTTTTAAAATACCAGTCCAAAAAAAATATCCCTTTTCCTGGTCCAATGGTATTGAAAGTGACAGCGGTGGTTCCTCCCGCATCTCTCCTCCTCAGAAAAGACCTTTCGCTTTCTTCAGGTTCACCTGCTTCCAGGCGGGCAGCGCATTGTACTCCTCTCTTGACATGTCTAATGCACTCTGGAAGAATCATGAGAAATGCTCAGTGGCTGAGTAGAGGGGCCTCGGACAAGCCAAGCCTATAGCTCCTTGCTATCCTGCCTGAAGGAGGACTTACCTCAAAGTCTTCATCAGTGAGATAAATCTCCAGCTTTAGGGGGTCAACTCCCTCGGGCAGTGGCCTGGCCAGAAGATCAGCCAGGGGGTAGATGGTTTTACAGAGCTTGGCTAAGACATCTTCCACAAGGGTGATTTGGCTGGAAACTTCTGTATCCTAGAGAAGAGAGGGGGGCAGAGGGATAAGTTCCTCGTCCTGCACCTGTACAGCCTTATTGCACACTTGCAAATCACAGCTCTGGCCAACCTGCACCCCAGCCTGGAAAGCTCAGGGGAAAAGTGAGCTCTGAAATACACAAGAATCACCCAAAACCTGACTTTTAGATGTCTTCTCACCCCATCACAAAGTTGCAAATAAATCTTGTCTCAGCACTGCCTCAGGAAAAAGTTTAAGGGATACAATGTGAATGAATTATGGCCTGAAATTATGTAAGTATAAATATCAGAAACTTCCTAATGATGGAATTTATTTTAAAATATTTCAAAGTAATAAATATAAGAATAATCTCAAAAGGAATCACAATGTCTTCTAGCCCAAGCCTTATTTTTTGATCCATAATAGAAAAAGAAGGAAAGAAAGTACATTTGGAATATACTGGGGTTGAATCATGCTTTTTTTTTTTTTACACCATGGTGTAAATTTAATTCAAACAGGTTATTTCGGGTAAATGATCATTCTCTGTTGTATTGGGATCCCAGATTGGCTGCCCGTCTTTTGAAAGGGTGGGGGGTGAGGAGGGCAGAATGGCTGATGTGCTGCCGAAGGACTAGTGTATAGACTGGTGTCAAAAGAGAGACCCTGGGTGAGCTACTTCATGTTTCTGAGCTTTAATTCCTTCACTGGTAAAATGGGGATAATAAGATGAATCTAATGGACTTGTGAAAATGAATGTGAAGTGGTGCATGCAGAGCGAGCTCTCAGTGACTAGCAATGATTATTATAACTTGCTGGTGTGGGGAGCCTGCATGTTGCTGGCCAAAGGCCAACAGGCCCGCACAGGACATTCTACTGCCCATGGACAGGCCCAGTGATCTTAGAGGATACGGGAAAATGGCTGTGATTTATGCCTTTAACTTAGATGGCACAAGGCAGAGAAATCCTCCCTGAATAGATCAAGTGAGTTCTGAACATGCGAGTTCATGACAGGTTTATTTTGTGCCTCCTCTAACACAAGGGCAATGTCTAAAACATCAGAATTTGGTTGTCTGGTATGGACCTTGAGAATCTATTAGTAACAGAGTTTTAGCTAACAGGATGAAGAGATAGAAGCTTTTATTTATTCTTCAAAGTAATTAAATTCACTAAGTTTTTAAAATTTGAGCACCATGTGTAGAAAATTACCAAGAAATGTTCAACTGATTGTTAGGCTTCCTCCTTCCTAAGTTAATGCCATGTAGCCTTGCTAATATAGTGTGAATTTAAAAAAAAAAAAAATCAAAAAACAGAAAACATGTTTTGGGCCTCTCTGGTGGATCACGGGTTAAGATACAGCCTGTGAAGCTGTCCGCAGCCTCTGCAGCATGAGTTCGATCCCAGGCCGGCCAGGGAGCTACCCACATGATGAAGCAGACCTCTCCTGACTCACCCACTGCTCCCCTCAGCAGTGTACTTTGGTAGATCTGCCTGCTCTGTTCCCCGCTCTGTCTCTGGTGAATCCTCTCACCCCCAGCACCTCTGGCCTGTACCCTAGCTCTTATATGCATAAATAAATAAATCTTTAAAAAAAAACATGTTTTCACTTTCAAAACGCAATTGGATGCTTCCCCCCAAAGGAAATTCAATCCCCACCCAAAAGGCAGTGAACCCTAACAAGGTGACTTCCGAGGTTAGGGCTCACCATTTCTGTGATCTCAGCAATGTCTTCTCTGTACTCCCAGCTGGGAAACATATTGGTGAAAGTCAGCGGCTCCAGACCAGCATGGATAAGGTAAGACTTGGGGGGTGGCTTCTTGATACTTTTTCCTGTGGGTGCATAGAAGGCAAATGTGAGTGGCCCTGGGTGGGTCTAAAGGCCCTGTATTTCTCTGATTTGCCCTTTAATTCTTCTTTGCATAAAAAATGTCATGAGTAGTTCAGAAGAACACATGAATGGTTATTTACATAAAATAACCATTAATTTTATGTTATATCTATGACTATTATAGTGACATGCAATTGACCTGACAATACTTCCTGAGCCTAAGAAAATGCTCTGGGCACTGGGTGGGAGAAAGCCTGGGCAGCCTCATTAGGGTTCACTGTTTTTTCCATTATTATAGCTAAATGGTAAAATCTGTAGTCAATTTATTGTTTTTTTACTACCCTGTCCACCTGAAATTTCTAATCTTATTTTTAAAAAATGGAGATACCTGTAATTGGAGATACCTGTAATTTGTGGCCTTCAGTAGGAAGTTTCCTCCTGTACGTGCATGGAAGGCATTCATCTGCCCAACGCAGCATTTACTTCAGTGTGAGTTAAACAATGAATGACAGCATCTTAAAAGCCACTTTAACTTAAACATTTTGTGGAAAAGTCATTTATTACTAAAGAGCTTCTCAAGAAGAGAATCGATTTGCACATACTTGGTAGTACAAGGCCAACCAGGAAAGCCTAAACATCCAGAAAGAAATGAATTACAGGTATCTCCATTAAAAAAAAAAAATAAGATTAGGGGCCTCCCCTGGTGGCGCAGCAGTTGAGCGCTGGCCTGTGAGGCTGCCCGCAGCCTCTGCAGCGCCAGTTCGATCCCCGGCCACCGGCAAGGGTCCCACCAAAAATAAAATAAAATAAAATAAAAATTAGAAAAATAAGATTAGAAATTTTAGGTGGACAGGGTAGTAAAAAACAATAAATTGACTACAGATTTTTTCCTTTTAGCTGTAATAATGGAAAAAACAGTGAACCCTAAATAAGGCTGCCCAGGTTTCCAGCCCACAGGGTAGGTGGGGGGGGGGGGCCTCTCAACTCTCAGTGGTGCTGCCTCTGGAGGAGGCCTAACTTGTTTCACAACTTGATCAATCCTGAGGGCGAAAGAGCTGACCCAGCCCTGAGCATGCTGCAATGCCACCTGGACCTCCAGGGGGACTGGTTAGGTGGCCTCCTAATACAAAATAGAAACTCAAATTCTCATCCATGCTGGCAGCCAGGAGTACACTCCTCTCAAAATTAATAAGCCTCAAAAAGTTAAAGGGACAATAAAGTAGTTCACTGCTGTCTGCTTTATAGAGGCTGGCTGCCACACAGAAAAAGGGAAAGACTAGACTCTGATTATGTCTGCGGGAACCAGCAGCACCAGCTTTGGACAGAAGCTTGTCACTGTGCCCGCGGGAGCCTGGCTCATCCTATGGCCCCCGCCGTCTCCTGCCCACGCCTCACCTTTGCAGTACTGGAGCACGGTCTCCATGGCGCTCTTTCTGTCTGAGGCCCAGCGGATGCGGGCGGAGCCTGTGATCTTGTTCTCAATGGGCCACCAGCCTTGCCAGAGGTACACCTCATGGTGATTGTCAACAAGGAACAGAGCTGTGAGGGTGAGGACAGAAGCAATCAGGGGCTCTGGCTGGGAGCTTCCAGCATCTCCCCCAAACCGAAGGGAAGCTGCTTTCCTTTCCTGCCTCTGTGTGTGGTTGCGTGTGTAGGTGTGTGTGTAGGTGCAGGTGTGAGGAGATCTCTTTGGCATTTATATTCAGGGGCAAAGGGTGGAGCTCCATGACAACTTCGCTCTCGAGTGTTAAATCAGGAAAGGCCTCTAGGCAGGGAGAGGTGGTGTGACTGACACGCACACCTTTTCTCCCTTCTCCTCACCTCTCCGCCAGTTCCTTTTCCCTTTGCCCCTGTTCCCCTGTGCTGGCCCTCCTAGGTACTGGCAGGGTGGTGGGGGTGGAATGGAGAATGCACACACCCCTCAAGGTGGTCATGAGCGCCATGATTTCCCAAGAGCCTATAAAAACTAGAGTATCCACCATGCACGCCCTTCTCAGCATTGACCTTTACACCCCACATAACTGCTTTGCAGGTGCCTTAAGACCCTGGCTTTTAGAGAGCAATGAACTTTAAAAATAAACATTCTGCCTATTCTCTCCCCTTCCTTCTCCTCTTCAGACTCTCAGCCTGATGCTGACTCTACATGGCAAAAGGTCTCTCACACTTGCTAGCTCAGCTGGCCCTGACTCCTTCCTAGCACACATTCTAGTCATCTGAGAGCCACACACTTCAAGAGCCCAGTGGAGGCTGATAACCCATCCCCAGTTACAGGATGGAGGGTGGGTGGCAGCATTTCTTGTCCAGATACTTGTCAAAGTATGTATTTCCCACAGTTAGACATGTGCACCAGCAAAGCTCTCTAGGCGGTGGCCTAGGCTGCCTGCGTGGGCTCAGGTACTGGATGCAGCTACAGGATCCTGTAATGTGAGGGGCAAAGCTCTAAGCGCAGGGACAGTGACCGCAGATGCAAGGAGGGTGGCAGGATCTCTATAGACACGTCTCTAGTGACTATGACTGTCCCGTGCAGATTGAGAGCAGAGGCTCTGTCTTGAGTGGGGTGGAGATGGCAAAAGCTCTAGGCTTGGAACCAGAAGAGAGCAAGACTCTTGAGCCTGCTGTGCTCTCTTGGCATGGTGGACACTATTCTTTGACTGATTCAGCAAAATTGTCACTCCCCTCCTACCTTGCTGCTGGGGGTGGCCAGACCACAAGCTCTGGCTAAGGGGATATAAACAGGAGGCTGCTGGGTGCTTTCTGGGAAAGATGGTCCTCTAGCTGATAAAAGGGTGAGAGGTGGCCAACATGTCTCTTTCCTTGTGTCATGAAAATACGATGGCTGAAATGGGGCAGCCATCTGGGGACCATGAAACAGCAAGCGTGAGGCAAGGCTGGGGGAACAGCAGAGCTGCCAGTCCTGACAGTGCTGTGCTCAACCTGTTCTTAGCTGGTGTGTGGGTGAGTTAAGTAACAGAACATCAGTTTCTTTACTATAATATGTGGTTGATGACATCTTCCTTTTGGGGTAAAAATAAGTGAGATAATTATATCTGGCAGTATACTTGGCAAATAAAGATGAAAGTAAAATGAAAAAACTTTTTGGGAGGGGCGTCTTCTGCCACTTGGCACCACCCCCTCTGCCATGGGCTGCACCTGGCTGTGGGGCGCTGTACAGGTCTTCCTGTAGGAAGGGCATGGAATTGACCACTGAGGGCTCGCGGGCAGGATACATGAATTCCGTGGCTGAAAAATCTCCAGAGGAGCTGCTAAGGATGAACAGGCGGGGCGTGAAGTTAAAATTTCCAGGATCTTTGAAAGAAAAGAGAACCAAGTCAAAGATATAATTTATACCAACATAAATTCTACACAGGTTGGAGAATTAGTATAAAACATGAAATGATCAAAGAATTCATATAAAAATAGGCGGGGGTTCATGTCAGCAAGGCCTTTTTAATCATAATCGTAAAAGAAGTCATCAAGAGGAGGCGGCTTCTCCATTGACAACATAATGAAAAATTACATTGCAAACAAAAGCACAACCATAAATGGAAAGTAACGTAATCAGAACTATGGAAACTTGTTAACATCCTTTAGTATGTAAAGGAATATAATAAAAAGAAATATTTCAATAAAAATGTGCAAAAGGCACACACAAAATATTCCCTAAAGTAGAAATACAAATGGCTAAGAAATACATAAAGTTTTATAGTACTTCTAATTTAAAACATTACAGTAAAATAGCACTTAGGATAAAACATTACAGATAAAACAGTACTCTGTCAACTTTGGCAGGGGAAAAGGGTACTGAATTTATGATTATGAAGGGAAACAGACACTTCTATATATTGCTGGTGAGATTAAAACTTGGTGTGAGTATCTGTTGATATATTTGCGTTATAAGACTTTTATAGCTATAAGATTTTATGCGACTTTAAAAGTCTTACAGCTTTATAACTATAGGACTTTTAGAACTTTAATAGAGCATTTCATTTCCATAGGAATTCACCTTAACTAGGAAGGAATGCAGATAATTATTTTAAAAATTATTCGTAAATTTATTCCTACCTAATAGAGGAAAACTGGAAAAATCTATAGGAGGCAGGTTAAGAAGAGACTGATATATATGATAGACTATAGTGGTATACCTCACAGCCATTAGAAGTCATTAACAACTTAGGAATTGTTCATAATGAAGGGAAAAAATAGGTTATAAAACACTAATCAAATTTTTTAATATAACATATATAACATAGAGAAAGGTTAATTCTGGTTATCTTTGAGTGGTGTGATTATGAGTGACATATTTTCTTTTTTAACTTCTCTGTATAGACTGTCCCTGACTTAACCATGGTTTGACTCACAACTCCTTGTCTTTACAATGGTGTGAAAGTGGTATGCATTCGGGCAACCTGTAGGTCGAATTTTAATCTTTTCCTGTGCTGGCAATGTGGCATAACATGGTCTCCTGGTGCTGGACAGGAGGCTCTCCGTCAGTCACATGACCATGAGGGGAACACCCCATCCTTTACAGTGTAGTGTTGCCAGTGTTTTTTGGATCTTGTGTTCTGTGACTCTCATCCGGTGAATAAAATGCCCATCCACATTTTATCATAAAATAGGCTTTTAGACTGATCATCCACAGGCTGATGTAAGTGTTCCAAACACATTTAAGCTAGGTGAGGCTATGCTATGCTGTCAATAGGTTAGGTGTCTTTAAAATATTTAACTTATGGTATTTTCAACTTACGATGGATTTATTGGGACATAATTCATTATAAGTTGAAAGATCTGTACTTTCAAATATTTTCTATGTTCAATAAATATGATCAAAAAAACTATAAAGCTACAAGAAATCAACACCTGTATAATGGAGCAGTTATGGGTACACTCCAATGCTGTTCAACTCTGGGCAAAACAATTAACTTCTCTGTGGCTCAACTTCCTCTTTGGTAACAAAAGGTTGAGTGTTGGGTTCTGAGGGTTGAATAAGTTCATAGATACCAAATGTTCAGTTATTTCCATTTTTTTTCTATAATGTAGTGATAGAATTGTGAACCATTTCAAAAATAATCATCTACATTTATTCCTAGTATATCAACAGCTTAATAATTGTTAGATTTTTCTTCTTATATCATGCATATAAGTTAATCTTTATTTTGTGTGTTTAAATAAAACAGACATACATCTGATTTGACCTCTCACTACTTCCCCCCACCCTGGGTGCTGATCAAACTGAAGGCATCTTGTCCCGCAGGTTTACTTTGCTCACCTGGTATCCTGGAATTTTCCTTTCTTCTTCCTTTCTCCTAAAATATACCTACCTCAAGGCACTGTGTAAATGCTATGTCTTCTGTGGAGCCCTGTATAATTTTTCCTGGTAGAAGCAATCTTTTTTCCATATCATTAACTTCCTTCACCTGCCCCTCTTTTATGACACATAAGCTTTGTACCTGGCATTATTTTAGTCAGACACATTATTTATTCTCCTTGTTGGGTTGTGAGCCTTGAAGACCTATCCTACTTTTGATTTCTGTGTGCTGAACATAGTATGTGCTCAATAAATATTGCCTCAAGACTGAAGGCAATGAAGCTGTATTACCTTGAAGCATGCAGTCATAGGCTTTCCTATCTCTCCTTCCCAATGCATCCCAGAATCCCATGGGCTCGGCTCCTTCTTCACACTCGTGAATTGTCACTTTGCTGCTACTATGCAGTCCTGCCTCCAGGGGACACCTGTGCGGGAGAAAGCCCAATACTTTTTTTAATAAGCTCTGGAAGTAGCAGCCCCAAATTATTCAAGGCTGAGCAGTTCACCATCTTTCTTCTACTTTCTAACTAAAACAATTCTTACCAACCTACAAAACTTACAGAATGAAATTATGCTCTGTAGTTTCGAAGTGTGTGTGTGTGGGGGGCAGGGTAGGTGGGGGAGGATTGGCTTGGCTCTGAGAGAGGAATGAATAATTTCATGACATAAGATGTCATGAAAGTTATATACATACTTATATATAACATACATATTTACTCTTCCTTGCCCTTCCCTCCTGTTAGAACACAAATCCCTACCAAGTTCCTACTCCCTAAGCTGTGTTTGCTACCAAATAAGTGCTCAATAATATTTTTGAATGAGTGAATGAGTTTTACTTGGTTTTACGGTTTCTTCAGTGGTCCAAGAGAAAAATCTGATGAACACGAATGGCTTTGGATACCTCCTAGGGTGTCATCTGTCATTTCTCCCCACTCCCAGACCCAGAATGATGTTCTGAGAAGAAACATCTTATTTCATGGATGTCTGCCTACTGAAAGGGCACTTGCTGCCTTTGTCCTCCTGTCCACCTTCTGCACATGTGCTAAGTTTTGGAGCAGAGGGAAGCATGCACACCTGCTCTCTTCTGGTGCTCAGAGAACAGGTTTTGTCAAATTGCACTTTGGTAGTATGTTGTGATCCCGGGAAACTCTGCATTTTTACTGTCTGGATGTCACCAAAAGTTCCCAGTTTTGACTGAGGAAATGCTTGGCATCAGTCTGAATGACTGTGTGACCCTGGGGTTTCTCTGGCAGCTCGGGATGCCCATTAGGCACTGCTGGGAAGCACCGAGTCACCGCTGCTGCCACTTCTGGACAGGTGACTGCTCATCACGGCATCTCCCTGGTATGCTTTCTCTTCTCTTTGACTCAGAGTGTGATGTCTTTCCTGAGATCAGCCATTAATAGTGAACCACAGTGCACTTCCTTTTGTAAGTAGCCAACTTTAGGTGCTGCCTGGGAAAGGAGCAGACCTGACACACCCAGAGTGCTGTGCCCAGCACTGCCCCAGGGGGTGACTTCAGTGCTGCCTGGGAGAATGTGGAGATACAGCCACTCCCTAAAATGGGGTCATTTAGATTCTGATGCAGTAGGTGATTTCCCAAACTGTTCTTTACATAATACTGTTTAACATTCCACTGTTCTGAGAAAGTTAAAACTTGGAACCCCTAAAAGATATTTGAAATTTGCTCTTTTTAAATAACAAAGGACTCTAGGTGTATAATTCAAAAGCTGAAATAAATCCTCAGAAAGTAGAGGAAGCCCTCAAATTGGAGGTTTTGGCTGAAATGTGTCCTATCTACTTGAAGTGTCAAAGACTCCTGAAAACTCTCCCCTGTGGAAATCAGTTAAAGCACACCAGGTGTTGAATGGGACTCTTGGGGGTTCTTCCTGCCTTCCCACGGGGAAGCCACTCTGGGAGAGGTCCTCACATACACAACACTCACTGTTCTTTGATTTTATTTGCTGCAGTCCTTCCAACCTCCTTTGTGTGGGCTTGGGCTTTGCATCCATGCCACAGGTAAATGAGGGCTTTATTTATGTTCAGGACAACCATGGATGTTCTGGACCTCAGGCTACTACAATGACAGGCCACTTCCAGCAAGTTTCCTTCCACGGGCACTTCTCCGCGCACACAGTACAGCCTCCACTCACCTGCAGGGGGCGACAGCAGCACAGAGTTAGGATGCTTGCTCGGCCAGGGCACCCACCCTTCTGGGGCATTGTGGGGCAGCCAGCTGCACACACCATGATCTCAGTCGTGATGGGGAAGGTGGAGGCGGCGCTGAAGTCAGAGGCCTGTCTTACTGACAGCCCGCAAAGCAATTCCTTTTGGAGTTAGAAGCAGGTTGCCGAAAGTTCACGACGCAGAACCACCGATCTAACAAAATTTATAAATACCTAGGTATGTCACACAACAGGCATATTTTAAAAGGCTCTAAAGCTAAGATAATAATTTTTTTGGATGGTGGCCAACAAAAATCTCACAATTTATAAATGAAGATCCATAGATTTTTTTTTTCTTCCCCTCCTAAAAAGAGACAGAGTCACGTCGAGGCTTTAGCTTAAGATGAAGGAAACTTCCTCCAGGCAAAGTTGGATTCTGAGGTGAACGCCACAGAAGGGGGCAGCTTATGAGTGCCCTATAAAGCTGATTTATAAGGCAAACATTAGGTTTTCAGTGGTAAAGCTGAAGCTAAATGAAGAGAGACTTACTTTAGACCACTACACCTATAAAAATACCTTCCAGGAAAAGGGAAAAAACAACCCTAATTCCCACAGTAAAAGTGACTTACTTTGTGCATTTTCTTCCTCCTCTTCCCGTCTTCCAGAGTGTACCACCATCCCCCCCTGGAAACACTGCAGAAAACAGGGGGGCTCCTTTCCCTGAAGAACCTGGACCTTCCAATTAAAACACAATAAAATAAGTGACACATCCTGGTATGTCAAAGTCATAAAAATAGTACACACCTATTATGGAAAATCTGAAAAAAATATCAAGAAATACAAACAAAAGCCAGTAGTAGTCCTGCTATCTGATGATAAGAGTATGAAAATTCTAACAGACAGCTTTCTTTTCAAAGTATTTTTGGGTGTATCTATGTTACCCAAATGAAAGTAGGATTGTTGTTTTATGCTGCTCTGTATTCTTGATTTTCTTAACACTTTTCTGTCACTGAATATTCATTTAAACATGAATTTTGATGTTTTAATGGTATTCTATTGTAGAGATGTAACATGATTGATTTAAACAAATTTTTAGCGAAGTATACGTCTCAGCAAGGACAATGATCAGTCACTGACAGTAAATCTAGGGAAAGAACTGTCACCTTGGAATCTTTCCAATAGTTGACTCAAGGACTATGTGCCTACAGAGCACAGCCCCTCTCTGCCTGTCAACACACTGTCTTTCTTCAGGTAGCAGCAGCACCATAATAACTCTGGGGCTGAGTCAACTTACTTTCACCTGCGAGGACTGCTTCCTGTAAGAGGAGTTTGCTTTACTGAGTCTGGACATGGTGAAAAGGAGGAGAGTTTCTCATCATGAGTTCATTTATCAACCTCAGGGCCCATTTTGCATAAGTAAGTGTCATTCTGTGGCTAAGTTTATGTCAAAAGTCATTTTATATCTGTTGATTAGATTAAAAAAAGAAATGCTCAAACTATAGTGGTTAATATTCAAAACTCAAAAATGCAATGGTCACTAACAACTACTTCTAACATACAGGCGAAAGCAGAAAATATGCATTAAGTGAGTCTTAGGAATTTGAAAGGCTAAGCGTTTATTTTTAAAGAAAATTTCCCCTGCTTTCTTCCCTCATGGTATTGCTAACTATTACCTAAGGTGGTAAAAATACATGGATGTGGATACAAGATTTCCAGAAACCCTAGAGTCAATTCTTAATCACTGGTACCTGAGGCACAGACAATCCAAACATTAAAAAGCCACGTTTACAAAACCTTGGATTTGGGCAGAGGAACTGGCCAGGCACTATGCAGGCCTGGGCTGAAATGGTGAGTAAGCAGGACAGACATGGTCTTTTTCAGGCTAGTGGGGAAAGACAGCTAGTAAATAAGTAAGCAAAACAAGCATGTTATTCATCTGATATTTCCTTGGAATATATTTGTGTAGGAGAAATAATTGATGAACGTTTGTGATTTCAAGGTGATTGTAAACAGACACGTATGAGGATACCCTTCCAGTGAATCCTTGCCACGTCTGGACTCATTCTTTTAAAAGTTCTACCCAATTGAAGCAGAAAATAGCATCTCTGTTTCATTTATAATTCCTTGATTATTAAGTGGAAACTGGAAAAAAATATTCATTGGCCATTCGTATTTGTTTTGTGGATTTACGGAATTGTGGATCCTATCACAACGGGAGCACATTCCTGGCTGAGCAGTGGGGAGAGGAAATTCGAGGGACAGTCTGAAACTGGGGAAGCAGGAGCAGGACAAGAATGCTATGGAAGATGCTGTTCGTGCACATTTGAGAGTTCAGAGGGGACCCAAGCGGTGTCTCCTGTGGTTCCCTGGAGAGGACATTTCTGTCATTTCCATACAGAGCTTTCCAAGACTTACCTGCGCACCCCGTTCCTCATCCAGCTCCACTGTCATCAGGGCTGATGTGCCCTTCTCACTCACAGTCGAGTGCCGGCCTTGCCAGAAGAAGTAGACACACTTCTCCTTGCCAGTCACTCTGACAGAATGCTCTCCCTTTTGTCGACTTCCCACTGCAAACACAGAACAGCAGAGGGCCAGGTAAGCGATCATAAGCCAAATAGAAGAGCAAAAACATGTGGCTCACTTCTCCAAGACCTGCGAGGAGAAACAGTAAAGAAACAGCTGTGGGGCCTGTGGAGGAGAAATTACAATAATGTAATGTAAATTATCCCGAAAGACAGGAGAAAACTGCTTTTCTCTCAGCTAACTGATCCTAAGCCTTCAAACTGGAGAAAAAGGATCTGAATATTCTCTTGATACCCTAAGAAAAACACCTGTCATCTGAGAGGAAGGTGGCAGATCACTCCAAGTATGTGACATAGAAAGCTGGTGACTGCCTGGGGGGACCAATGGCTTCCAAAGACGCAAATGCATTTTCCATATTATGTCATACTCTGGCAGAAGATTAGCTGGTAGAAAAAAGATATGAAAACAGCAGCTGGGCCAGCTTTAAGCACAATGAAAAAATTTTGGTCTGTTAAAACTATTCTAGTAAAAAAAAAACACTTTGAATTTCTGTCATAAATGGAAGAGATAAATTGCTGACATATCACTTTCATAAAATAATATGATTTAAATAACATCTGTCACCAGGGCTGTAGCCAGGATTCAAGGCTGGTTATCTGAATTACCTGGCACCTTAAAGGCAGCTGATAAATGAGAAATGTTAGCAGCACACAGAGAAGGATCTCCTGAGAGCAGCCATGGAAACTCATCGGCCAAGTGGTCATTTCAGACATCAAAATCACTGCCTTCAGGGATATAGCTTACTCCAGATTCGCCTCCTTACTCATTCAAAAATATTTTAAATATATTCAAAACTATTCATAATATATTATTCAAAAATATTTCAACAAGCAACTATCGTGCACCAGGGACTCTTCAGGATACTGGTGCTAGAATGACAAGTACGACAGACCGTTACCCTGTTTTCTTTGTAATCAACACTTTGATGAGCAAGATAATTTCAGGGAATGACAGTGCTATGAAGGAAAGAGCCACAGTGTATGGTGGGGTGCCAGTGGTATTGCTGTTGAGGGAATGCTTTTCTGTGTGTGTGGGGAAGGGAGGGTATGTGGGGGGGGGGTGAGAAGAGGCTCAATGACAATGGCCTGGAGACAGAGCCTTCTAGAATGAGTGAGGCCACTGGACCAAGTTAGTGTTCAAATGCTGGTGGTCCCAGTAAGTGGGGCCTACAATGGGAGGGGGCAGGTAGTTGTAATACCCAACATATCTTAAAAACTAATGTTAGATATAATAACTGGATTTCTGGTTCTATGCAATCTCAGTTTTTCTGAGCTCTAATTCATTTACCAAATTACACTTCTTTTGAGGTTTGAAGATAAAGAAGAAACCTTATTTAAAGTTATTAAAAAGTCAGAGGTCATATATTTTGATTTTTGGCCCTTTAGCAAAGGACCCTATATCAGTTTTCACAAATGATTATATAAATTTTCTTTAGTTTTTCGACTAAGCATGGCCTTTAGTACCAACTATTGAGGACCAAGTTTAATCAACAGATCATAAATACCTACAATTAGCAATCACAATCACTCAATTGAAATTTCTGGTATTTTGGATTGGAACAAAAGTTTGCTTTGGTTAGCAAATCCAGTCTCCAAAGCAATAAAAATCAGTAGTGTCAATTGTGTAAAAATATGCTTAAAATAGATTACAGTAATTAAAACAGATCTTAAAATTTATTAGCACTGAAATACATTGTGTAAATAGATTTTCACACTTAAAAACTCAATGTTTACATTTCAACACTGAAATGGACTTGAGTGTATATATGTAAAAGAGTTGTATTTCTTTAAAAGCAATTCATAAGATAGACACTTCACTAATTTTTCTTGCAATTTGCTTCAAAATACCCAAATATAATTTCATATGCAACTAATTTCTAATCATTTACTTATTTTTAATTTGGCAAAATAAAGATTAAGCTTTTAGACTTCTAGACTAATCTTTATCGAGGTAATCACAGACGTCTAAAGTCTTAAGGCATCATACCACTAAAATTGCTAAAAGTAACTTTGTTACCAGTAGCTGTGTTTAGGCATAGGAAAAGCTGAACTATGAACTGCTCAGAGGCCAGTGGTCTTGCAGATGAAACCCATTTGCTCACTACCTATTTATAGGAACTTGACCTGTATCCCTCTCTGGTGTGACCTGACCCAGAGTCATTGGGCAGTGTCCCTGGAACAACTTGTTTCCTGACTTTCAGGGGCCTGGGCCAGGCACCTGAGATGGTCACTGGGGCTGGACATTGACCCCCGAGGCCTCTTCTAGCTTCTGAGGTTTCCTGCCCAAGGAGCTCACTTCTCTGTGTGCCTGCCAGATGACCTGCGTTTACCGAGAACTCTGTTGTCCTGTTTCTACAGCTGCTTTCTGCAACCCGTCCCAGAAGAGGGTCCCGAGCTCTGAAGTGCAGCCAGCTAGCAGGTGCAGCCCTTGTGGGGTGTGACTGATAGAAAGCGGGACTAGCAGTCAACCAGAGGCCAGGGCTTCTGCGATGGCTGTGGAGGGGCTGCAGATGCCATCAAGCTGTGCTTTTCTGCTCCCAGAAGGAAGGTCTGGGACCTGAAGGTTCCCTGCTCTAATTTAATTCTCTGCAGCTGGACTTTCTCAAAGTTGTAACTCTGCTCAAAAAGATGCTGCTGAATCTGGCTCCGAGATGCACATTGTGTTTATTGGGAAGAAATACAGAAAGTATTTGCCTGGGTCAAATAATTTCCTAGGGGTATCCAAAAACAATAGTCTATGAAGGCTTTGGAAATCTTAGATTTCTTTTAAAAATTCATGCTAATAGCACTGTTTCCTTTACTTACTAGTCATTCATTTACTTCTTTTTATTTTTTTAAGGATTTATTAATTTTTGCATACAAGAACTGGGGTGCAGGGCAGAGGTTCAGGGGGTGGGAGGATTCACCAGAAACAGAGTGGGGAACAGAGCAGGCAGACTGACTGAAATACACTGCTGAGGGGAGCAGCGGGTGAGACAGGAGAGGTCTGCTGTGCCATGTGGGTTGCTCCCGGGCTGGGGATCGAACACTTGCTACAGTGGCTGCAGTCAGCTTCATAGGTTGCATCTTAACCCCTTGCACCATCAGGGAGGCCCCATTTACTTCTTTTTTATAACTGCCAAATAAGATAAGGAAATGACTAAATTTCATGCTGTGGATGCTTCTCTGTTATGTAAAACAAGTTCTGTAATAAGAATGGGAATTACAGATGCCTTGAAAGGTTGTTTCCTAGAGTTCCTACTTCCACAACTGCAAGGGTAAGTAGATCCCCCTTCAACTAAATTCCAAATTATTGTCTTTATCAATCAGCAGCAAAGATAATTATTTCAGTTTACCTGACCTGCATCAGATTAAAGGAGCTTAAACCTATAATACAATAAAGACTCTTCGGGAAGTACTATTATTTTGTATAGATCTACATCATCTCACTGTCAAGTTAAATACAGTAATTAAGCTGTTGCTGCGCAGAATGTCAGTGACAACTGTTTCCTGCATCTGCCGTGTGAACAACTGCCAGCACTATGCTAACCACTATGCTCACCAGATTAGACTAGTCTGTGAGCTGGGTATGAGAACCTCTATTTTCTGTAGAGGAAGCAAGTCTCAGACAAGACAAGCAACTATTCCCAACTTATACATCTGGTATGTTGTAGGGCCTGAAGGAAGGAAGATTCAATTACAGGCTATATAGCCTCAGGACCTGTGACCTTTCTTCCATGAGACACAACCTCTTAATAAAAGAGAAAGGGGTTGTTCCCATCATTCATAAGGAATTAAGATGAGAAACACAGGAATTTAGCTCCTCCTGAGGTCCTTGCCACACACCCCACAACTCTGCAAGGTGGGGCTAGAGCCACCAGCTCTCTGCAGGCCCTGAAAGAGCCCATCATGGTTCATGGTTATTTGAGAAGTCCCGGAGGTTTGGTGCGTTCAGTTGCCCAACCTCCACTTGGCCTTATTGCTAGGTCAACCCTGACCTCCATGGATCTGTTAGCTGGGCTTGTGGGTCCCTCCTTGCAGGTAACTTGGGGATCCCCTCCTGTGACCTGACCCATTCAGACTCCCTGCCTACAGGGTGTTTAGCACCACAACTGGATTTTGAGTAGGGGCGGGCTTGCATTTTAGTGTCCAGCTCTGCACTCTTATTAGTTGTGTGACTTCAGGTGGGTCACTTAATCTTTGTGTCCAGTTCCTCATCTGAGAAATTAGCTTTAAAGACAAGACAGAACACATCACATGGACCTGTGTTGAAGGAGTCAGTGGGAGTGGGTCACAGAGCCCCTGTGCTGGGCCTCACAAGGCAGGAGTAGGTCTCTAGGCCCGCAGCACACAGGGGCAGCTCTGGACACACCACCTCACTGTGAAGCCTTCTTGCCTCCCCTGGGACACGCATCCACTGGCCACCCAATCTTGGCCTGCTGGGCTTACCCCATTACTCCAGATCCAACCTCAGGGAAATGAGTTTCTTGAACAGCACCAAGCAGTCACCTACCCTCCAGTATTCTCAATTGTACCATATGATTAAATGCAGAAAAGGCTTACACACAGAGTGGATGCTCAGTAAATGCTGTCAGTTGATTATTAGCTTATTTTTGATAAATTAGGACAGAAATCAAATGGTTGTAAGTGTGCAGGTAGTTGATCAGCAAACTGTTCCCCGTGATCCTAGGGGCAGACCACACTTGAATGCTGAGGGGCTGCACAGGGAAGAGTCTCTTCTTCAACTAACTGTAGGAGCTGTTAGTTGAATCTAGAAATCATATCAGTGACAATAAACTCTCTCCTAAATGGGTGCGGGATGAGGGATGCTATGGATAACTTGGATAACGGTCCTTGGCAAGGAAAAGTTTATCTCTCCCAAGTTCACTCATTCTTCTCCTGCAATGCCTCAGAGCAAAGCATACACTGGAGGGTTTTGCTATACTTATATTTTGCTATACTTACATTTCACTGACAGAAACCATAAAGAGTCTGACTATGCATTTATTCTACCAGACCCACAAAGCACTGTTCATGCTCTCACTCTCCGAGGAAATAGCTTCCTCTATTTTTAATAAATCTTCCATTGCATGTATTTACTATAACATTACTACACAATTTGGTTTTAGTCCTAAATCAACCTGGTATGCTTCATTTAATGACCTTAAGCAGCATATAGCCACATGGTAAATAGCATTTGAAGGCAAATCACCACTTTTCCTAGAAAACCTCAGTGGACAGGATGTGGGAGGGAGAGATGGCAGGAGGGAAACATTAACATGCAAGTTTAATTTTTATCAGGAAACATCACAGAAATTAGCAATGCTAGGTTGTTTGTTAGGAATTCATCCATAAGATTTACTACGTGGTTCTCAAAGCAAATGACTAGACGACACTCTGTGTCTATGCAGCTGAGGGCAACACCCAGCACCAACAGGCTGGGCCTGTCTCAGCTTGAAGAGAACATAACGGTCACTAACCTGCAGTGCTCACCATGAACTTCCACTTGACCACATAGGCATCTCCCTCGTGGAACTGCCCGATGCTCTGTTTGGGGAGCCTGCTGTAGTCGAATTCGAGGATATGCCAGACATCCACAGAGACACTGGCAATCTCAAACTGCCTCCGGTCATCCCCTTCCACCAGGCCGTAGCCACGGCCCACGTTCACCCCATCTAGCACAGTGCCGGCCATCGTCTGAGGCACCGGCACCATCCGTGTCACATCATAAGGCTTGACCTCAGCCCTAGGATCTTCCTAAAAGAACATACAAATGTTAGTTCAGTTGCCTCTGCTTCTGTAGCCATTTCTCATCATACTTAATGTCATTTTACTATTAATGGGACAGGTACAGGTATAGCTCCCCCCTCCTCAGGGCCAATGCCTCTAGAAGCACAAACTGGGCTATTTCCACCTCATTGAATTAGCATACAATTGGAAACTTGTTTACTATTCTACTAGTAAATCCTGGGAAGACGTTTAGCTTCAAGGTCACCTTTGCTGGGCCCCAAACAAGTCCTGAGACTTAGGCTTAATTAAGTGGAATACCTTCTGCTGGGCAAATTCGCTGACATTCTTCTCATTAGGTCTCTTTAATTCGGTCCAATCAAGAAATTTCTCTTTGAACAAAATAGTCTCATTGTGCTCTGTAAGTCTCCCAAATATTGCCCAATCAGGTCGCCCCTGTCCTTTTCTGTGGAGGTGGGTGGGTGAGAGGAGTAGACAAAAAAAGAACCAAGATTAAGTCATGCTAAAAATAAAGGAATCTGAAACACATGTAGTTATTGGGAAAAAAAAAAAAACCCTCAGAATATGTTAGTAGTATATAATATGAAAGGATTGTTTTCATTTAACCAAATAACTGGTATTTTATTATTTAACCCTAAGCCTTACAAGACTTTGTGTGCATGAAGTTGATGTGCCTGAATGTGACATGAAGCATTAGCTTTTCTTACATTCCAGCAAATTCTGATACTTAGGATCGGGGGCAAGATGGAGCTTAGCCTCAGCTCTCTATCACTCTAAGTCACGTTACAAGAAGCTCTCCAGTAGATGGAGAGTCTTCCTCTATTACTAAAATAAAAAAAACTTTCACCTATCATGAAGTTTTTTTTTTTTAAAGATTTATTTTTATTTATTTATACAAGCACTGGGTACAGTCAGAAGTGCGGGAGGGTGAGAGAATTCACCAGAGCCAGAGTGGGGAGCAGAGCAGGCAGAAGGACCGAAGTACACTGCTGAGGGGAGCAGCGGGCGGCAGGAGAGGTCTGCGCACCATGTGGGACCCTCCTCCGGTGGCCGGGGAGCAGCGGGGATTGAACCAGCGCCGAAGAGGCTGCGAGCAGCTTCGCAACACAGCACTCAACCGCTGCGCCACCGGGGAGGCCCCTATCATGAAGTTTTGTTAATTTATTTTCAGGTCACTAGACATGACAGCAGGCAGAGAGAGCACATGACACAAGAAAGGAACTGGCTGAGCCCCACCAGGGGTCTGGTACTGTGTTAGGATCTGTGTTAGGATCTCAGAATTGGAGATTGTGCCTGTAACACAAATAACTTAGAAAAAAAGTTGGGTTAAGGCAATCCATGGCGAAAAGGATTCAGTCCTGAGGATAAAATGTGGGTATACTCATTTTTCCACATGAATCCTTGACTGTGAATTGGGACCAGGTGGGAAGCCTATATACAATCAAACCAATGAGTGTTGCTTAGTTGGTCTGTTTCACCACTTCCTCTTTAGTTAAGACTATACTTTCTGACAGCACAGCTAATGCACATCAAGGAAGCTGCCTGTTTGAAAGAAGGCTGAAGGATAAAGCACAGTATAATAGTTTCTCTCCACCTCTTCCACCAGCACTCTGGGGTGCCCTCCTTTGTTAAGCAGGCTGAGAGCTAATTCTTGGCTGCCCCTTCACATTCTTGGGAGCATTCAAGGCATACAGACACATAAGTCCGTCCTCCACCCAGGAGTTGCAACCATCTCTCTGACTCTCTGGGTGTACGCCTGCACATGCATTTTTTAAACATCCTCAGAACATTCTGATCTCAGAAAAGTTGACAATCAGTGAGCTGGGTGCTCACTCACCTACTTTTCCATCTGTGATTATGTCACTTCTAAATTAAACTGCCCTTCATACAGATTTATGCTTTACTACTGTAGTATACCATGCTTTTACTTTTTTTTTAAACGATTCTGTTTTTTCTCTTACTATAAAATAATCTTGTAGCCTTATCTTCTGTCTGTAAAATACTAGAGTACTGATTTTATGATATGCCTTTGTTTAAAAGGGATTTAAGCAACTCTCCTGCCCACCTGTGACTATGCACGTACCTCCCTTTTCTTTTCTCCTTTTCCTAATAAACCTGTCCATTTAAAATGTAAAATAAAAGTAAAAATAAAAAGGATTCAAAGCCTTTTCACCTATAGTAACATAAACTTTAACTTTCTGAAATAATATTTAATATTAAACATTAACTTGATTTTAAAACTAGATAGAAAGTTGAAATCTGTAAACTAATTTAATGGAAAACATTAAAATGCAATTCTATGCTGTTTGGTGGCACAGCTATTTCCAATATGTGATAGGGCATACCTAATTTAAAAGTACTTTACCCCCCTCAAATTTTCCCACAATAGTAATTCTTTGCTCGTAAGGATTATTTTTCTCATATGTTTAGTGTTTGTACATATACAGGATTGCCTAAATTACTTTAAAAAAAAAAAGGACACTACAGGAAATATTAGAATTACAATCATGGTTTCAATACCTTATACTTCCTCCCACCTCCACCCCTACATCCTCTAAATGTGATAGAGGTTGTCTACTGCCAAATAAATGATAAATCCCGCCACTCTAGTGCTGTACTGGGAAGGTGAGGCATTTGAAGGAAATGCATTCCTTCTGCACCTTTATATGAATAGCAAACTCCAGACCCTGGGAAGCTTTTTAGATCAGCATGTAATTTGTTTAAACAATTACATGTTCTCACTTGCTACGACAGCACCTGGAATGGCGCAGGTGGGAAACAATTTGTTCACTTCAGGAAATTAAATATAACGCAAACATCTTCCAGAAGACACTCTGCTTCTGTGTTAGGTAAAAGCTAAAGAAATGTTCTTTTCGTGAATATTGATGGTGCTGCTCACAATGGTTTATGGGGGCAAGAGCCTAGGAAGAACCAGAGCCGACAACCTTGGTTAGATCTGAGATAATGTGCATACTCCACAGTGTCCTCCACCTGAGTACCTGGGAATAAGCGGGTTGCATTCACCAGGATCCAGTGGGTTGATGTCACAATTCTCGTAGTCAAAGGTTCCATTCCATAAGTGCTTTGCCAGCTGAAATGCTACTTTCCGTTGTGCCAGTGTTACTTCTTTTCCATGCCACACATAAACTTCACTACCAAAATCAAACACCAGTACCTGGGAAAATGGCAAAAAAAGAACTGGTTAACTGCAAGCATAATGACTTGACTTACACATATTGTGAAATGATTACCATAAGTTTAATTAACATCGATCATCTCATAAAAATACAAAAAAGGGAAAAACACATATGAAAAGAAAAATACATATATCATTTTACCTGAAACAGAAAAAGCTTTCAAAGACTCATTGAACCTCTTTTGAACAATATTCTGGATCCTATATTAATATTTTTTTTTGAAAGCTAGATTTTTTTTTTTGATTTAATTATTTATTTATACAAGCACTGGGTACAGTCAGAAGCACGGGAGGGTGAGAGAATCCACCAGAGACAGAGCGGGTTGCAGAACAGGCAAAGTGACAAAATACACTGCTGAGGGGAGCAGCGGGCGGCAGGAGAGGTCTGCGCGCCATGTGGGCCCCTTGCCGGTGGCCAGGGATCAAACCTGCATTGCAGAGGCTGCGGGCAGCTTCGCAACCCAGCGCTCAACTGCTGCGCCACCGGGGAAGCCCTGAATTCTATATTAATATTTAAGATGACAATAAAGTTTGATATCACTAGTAAATATCCTTTGAAAAAATATCAATGTTCTGAGATGGGTACTAACACTGGTTCATATTACTGGGCGGTTACTATCCATTTATGGGGCAGCCCTGAGCAAAGTGCTTCCTTGTGTAGGGCCCATTCACTGTACCTCTTTTGATTGCAGTAAGGAGCACTTTGGGATTTTCCCCCAGTAGTCATCATCGGGAACAAGTTTGTCATCCATCAGACGGTAAATGCAGTTTGTTTCTATTATGGCTGTTTCATACAGTTCATCCTCTTTGGGGTCTCCAGCAGCTTTGGGATAAGAATAATAAGAGAGTATTCTATTTTACACTGAAAAGTGGCTTGTTTAGAAGTGGCTTTTCATTCTCTGAAATGTAGTAAAGCCTTACATTGGTAATTGGTTTGGCTGCCAAGAAGCTTCCAGAAGTCTTTGGCTGCATGAGTGTGTGTATTAATTCCTTCTTCTATAGTTTGGATATAAGTAGCTCTACAACCAAGTTCCCTCTTTGTCTGAATTAAGGTTGCAAGTTCTGAGGCCTAAAAAAGGGAGGAACACAATTACCTGGGGAGACAAGCCCCTGGCTGGGTGGCACATGTTAAAGTCAAAGACAAGAAATGGCATGACTAAAAGGAAAATCTTGTGACCCCTGGGACTGGAGGGCACTGGTTGTTGGTTATTTTCAGTGACGTCAAGAAAATATAATCTAAGGGTAAAGACATATCGGTTCTTTAGAGCAACAGTTTATCTTCAAATTGAGCAGATCACTTGTGAAGCTTTCAGAAAATACCCATTCTCTGAGCTGTTTCCTGTGAGATTCTCATTCAATAGGCCTGCACCAGAATTTCATAGGTACCTAGGGTGAACAACTTTGAAGTGCGTTTATACAGGAGAAAAACTAAACTCAGGACTTAAAAACTGGAGATATAGGTCATAATCCTTTTACAATGTCCCACCTCAACACCCAAGGAGAGCATTATTGAGGAAAATAAATACTACACATTCCTTCTCTCTTGAAAGAAACATTGAGTATTTGAGAAACTTTGTAATAACATCTATTAGCATATAAAGAAGATGCTAAACTAAACTATTTTCAGATACCAACCTTTGCCTTTTCTATGACATTTGCAAACTCTCCTACCCACAGGAAGCAATAGTGGGGAGACAGCAGCAGGAAGCAGTCCCCACTGTTGAGTGAAGAAGCTCGAGGTTCAACCAGTCTTGTCTGCACATGTCTTCTTCCTAAATACAAGGCAAAGAGTCATGTCTTCCTGGGAAGGAGAACTCTCAGCCACAGGAAGGAGCAGGAAGCAACACCCCCACCGCCCACCAACCGAGCACCCCTGCTACACACACTTCCAAGCCTATAAAGCCTGGTCTACTTATATTAGTTCCCAAGACCTGGAGTGGTGTAGATGGGGATTTACAATGATAGGTGATCAGGTAAAGAAGATGTGTTATATATGCACAATAGAATACTTTTCAACTCTAAAAAAAAGTGAAGTATTGCATTGGCAGTGAAATGGAAGCAATTATGTAAAGTGAAATAAGTTGGAAGGAGAAAGACAATGTCAGATAATTTCTCCTATCTGTGCAATAAAAGGAAAGAAAGCAGATGAATGGACAAAACAAAACAAGAATAAACTTGTGGACTTTGACAAAAGAAGTAAGATTAACAAAGAGAAAGTGGGTAGGGATGGGAGCAAAAGTGGAGGGAATCTAATGGATGATGATGGATGAGAAAAAAAAAAACAACAAAGCATTTGCCACTTGCAGGCAGTTAAGTTTCTCCTCACAGCCTAAAGCTGCATCCCTTGCTACAGATAGTAAAGTGTTGGAGGGGATTCATTTGTCTCTCCTTTCCCTTGATTCCATCTCTAAGAATGTGCATCTCTTCTGCTGGCCAGCACTGAGTCTTGCTTACCTCAGTGAGGAGAACTGAGTGGAGAGAACCACTAGGAGGACTTGAGGGGCACCTGGGAGTGTATGATGGTGGTATGGTGGGGTCCCAGGGAAGGGGAAGAGACCTAGGCTCACTTCCAGCTCACCACTCAACAGTTGCTGTGACCTCAGACACAATCCTAACCTCTCTAAGCCTTAGGGGGCATATTTTCTACTTCACGGGATTTTGCGAAGCTTATGTGAAAGGAGGTAGGAGCACCTGGCACACAGAAAGCTCTCAAAAACCTTTAGTGTAAGTAAAGGGTAGTCAGGACTCCTGATCTTACAGACTAAAGCCCCTGGTCAAGGTGTGATTCTTTTCTACTGCTCTTAAATACCTTTAATCTGCAATAGCATCAGCTTCTTGTAGGGCACAGCGCTGTTGTTGGAATTCTGTTCTGTCAGGTTGACGCTCCGCAGGCTGACATTGCTGAAGTTTTCTTTACTGGCTAAACCTGCCAGAGTAACTTCTGAGAAGTTGGAGTTGGCGGACACTGGGCAGGTTGAATAAGGAAACACAACACGGGGTGGGGCAAGATGTTCAGGTGAGATGACAATGTTTACAACCAGAAATTCTTCATTATTGACTACCTATTTCTTTAGGTTAATTCTGAGGGGGAGAACATAACTCAAGTTTGACTAGCTATGCAGTTCAATGCTTAACACTGTATTAAAAATTAAACACAGTATTAGAAATACAAACTGCTTGTTGACATGTGTCACATCTTGTCCTGCAGAGACAAGAGCTACTTCACTATAAAATCAGAAGCTAAATTCATCTGTTGCAGTTCCACTGAGAACTGCTATATTCCTAACAACGCTTAGATATTTAAAATGCATTTCCCCAGACAAGACTATTCGATGCATTTTGCCGAAAGTCTTTATACTCTATAAGAAATGATTTAGTTGTAATCTTTTCCTGAAGACAGAGATGAACTAGATGATTTCTTGAGATCCTTTGCTTTCAGATTCAGGACTATAATAGGATGATGGATTTTCAGGGTGGAGCAGCAACTTTAAATGCCTTTGTCATCACAAAGCTGTCCCCAGAGTTACTGAAAAGTGGAGGTAGGGGAAAAAGCATCTGAAATTGATGCCAACAAAGCTTTAGTTATCCAATTCATTGTTTCAAAAATGTACATGTTAAAAAGAATTCAGAAAATTATTTTTGCAGGGATTAGGACCTAACACTGAAGAAATACAACACTCCCTGACAATTCATACAGCATAGTGACTTTGAAGTACACTTTCTAAGTGAGTTGGTTACAAAGAAAAGACTCAACCATTTCAGTTATATATTATATTCCTATGAGAAACTTTAGGTATGTGAGTATGATAGGTAGAGGATCTACCAAGCTGTGCCTGGACAAAGAAACTGAGAATAAAGAGTGGTTTTAAACTGCTAAGTTTTTGGTAATTTATTATAAAACACTAGAAAACTAATACAAAGGTGAAAACCCACTTTAATTAACATCCTCATTAAAAAATGCTTAAATTTAAAAAGAAATTATAGCAAGTATATTAAAAATAGCATGATCAGGCATGCCATTTTCTCCACCAAGAAAACCAATCTTTTAGAACAATGAATCCCACATTCTTGGACCTACAAAAGCAGAGCAGCTTAATCTGGAGGTGGGGCAGGGACCTGAATGCCACCTCCTCACTCCCTACTCAATGCCACACCCCAACTCTCATTACTCTACCCAACCACATGCAACTCAGAGGAGCCTGGGAGTTCTTTCAAACACAATTTGAAAAACACTCACTTATGCATTAATTAATAATATTAAGAATCTAGGATTAGGAGCAGCAGTGATTTGGGATAGTTTCCCTTGATAGATCAAGTGATTGGCACTTGCAGACAATGAAGTGGAGAATTACTGTTTTGGGCCTTATATAAGTAGATATGGCTTGAATTACAAAGCCAGAAACATCCAGAAACTAAGATTTTAAAGAAAATCTCAGTAAACAGGATAATTTTAATTAACCAAGCCAAGAGATGCGCCATGCTCTAAGTATTTCTGTGAAAAGCCTTTAAATTCCAGCTAGTTTTCTGTAGATACACATGTATGTGTGCAAACTGACTCATTTTTAGTTAATGAGTGTCTTTTGAGCACTACTTTTGACTGGCCTTTGCAAGGCAGAAAAGAGAGATAATTAAAATTATCACATAATGGCGAGTTTCCAAGCATAGATAGTGGCTCCAAATACTCACTCTTTTCTACTTTCATCCGCTTTGATTCCATGAAGGCAACATTTAATCTCTGCTCAGTGTATTCCTGAAGGAGATCTTCTCGTGCTGCCAGCAATTTCAGGGGGTTCTTGGAAGCCTGAACCCGGCGCTTGGGCCTAACGGCACGCTTGTGCTCAGCCACAGAAGATGTCAACCTGAGGGGCCAAGCACAGCGGGTCTCACCCTGCAGCACCATCACACCTGACTTATTTGCAGGCCTCTCACAGCCATGTGCTCTGCATGTTTATTTCCTGATTTCATTATAAATCTTAGGAGTCTTCCTCCCATCACACCACTGACATGGGATCACAGAATCTTAGAGCTGGAAGGGAGAGTCAAGCTCATGTAGTTCGAGTGTCGCATCAATCCCAGAATCCCACTCAAACCACACTGTGAGCTCTGCCTACGGGAGCTTCTGGTACATAATGAGGCAATTTGTTCTACCACTGGATAGCTCTGAACATAGGACATTGTCCCCTGTCTTCATCGCACCAGCACACGTCTCGCTTCTCGCTCTACAATATCCCACGTCTGCTTCTTTGGCTAATAGTAAACCTTTGAGAATTTATAGGCATAGTTTTTAACTTTAATCCTCTTCCCTCCAGACTAAACTTTCTTTTTACATGGTAGTTTTTCACAACTCTGCCGTAACTAGCCTCCTCTCAACCCACTGTCCCCTATGAATAAAAACACTATTTTGTTGAATGTAATGAAACAAAATAGGCCCAGAAAACCAACTATGACAGCCACACACTCACACAAGTCTCTGGGGTAGACACCAGACATGGGCAGGAGGACAGACCCAGTCATGACTCCAAACAGATTCCAGCTGCTGCTCTTAACTGCTAACTGCATATCTCCCTGCCACATAGTCCTCTCTGTGTAATACTATTGACCTGTGTGTGTGTAAACATACAAAGGTATGTTTCAATTATATACCTGATTGAAGCTATGACATCTGAGTGGAGAGAAGACCAAAAATGGTTCATAACCACCAGTGCAAATACCAAAATGTTAAAGGTAGAAAATGTCAAGGTTTTCTTTTTTTTAAGGTAGCAAATTGAAAAAAAAAATAAATTGAAATATGCAAAAAAAAATGTATTAGGTGCAGTTTAAGGAAAAATTTATGATGACTATACAGCGAGAGAAGATCCTCAGGAAAGTACTGTGTGGAGGTCAATGGAGGAATCCCTTTTCAGAAGGTGAAAAATGGAAATAGAGTAACTTACTTGGGTGCATAAGGATCGAAAATGACATCAAAGTCCTCATCTAGGTCCACTGGACTCCGTGGCATAGTATAATCCACGCTGCGGTAAAATTTGGCAAAGGTTTCATCATCGTCCAACTTCATCACCTCTTTTACAGATTTACCAGTAACAGTGAGTATGGTTTCTTGCATCCCACCAACTATCAACAAATAAGCAAATAAATAGCATTAGATCTGTATAAAAAGATTACTCCAACTATAGCTTTTAATATTTTAAAAATTATTTTTCCCAGTAAGTTCCAGGAGTAAACATAACAGTGACCTCCAGGATTCTGTGTATACTTCCTAGACTTCGTCATCTCGTGAAAGGTTTTACCAGCTGAAAAATGCTTGTGTCACGACATGATGGGGGAGAGGGAGCCTCTGCTGGCTGCACACAAGCCCACTGAGCATTTCTGACCTGTTCCTCTTTCTACTGGAAGCAGAGCTAGCCTCAGTCTCATTCAAGATCAGGGATTTGCAAAATTTTTATGCAAAGAGCCATATAGTAAATATTTTAGCTTTTGCATTGGAGGTATCTGGCCTGTGTTGCAACTACTCAACACTACTGTTGTGGTGAAAAATATTAACTGATAAAACATTAACAAATGGGCATGACTGTGTTCCAATAAAACTTTACTTATGAAAGCAAGAGCAGAGCTGGATTAGTTTTCTGACCTTTGAGCTAGATTGCCCACATATTACACATGTGCAATCACTTTAAACTGTTTCTATTCCTTTTCTTGCCAGTTTACTTTTATATTTATGGTCTAACAGGTTTACTTGTATTACTTTCAAACTATTTGAGGGTTATGTCAATAGTCTAATAGTTGGAACTTCAGACACTTATTATTTGATGCTTTAAGTACTGAACATCCTTATTAATTGATGAGGCTACTTCTGCATATTATTCTCTTATACATCTCATTGACTTTTTATTGGAGTATTTATTCCAATGTCTGTTTACCAGAATTTTCTTTTAAAAGTCACTTGTGATTATAAGATCTAATATTAGCTTCTACCTTATTGGAAACTGACAAAAAAAAAGATTTGAAGTTCATCAGATCCAAGATCATGTTAATTTTGTATAATAATCTGCTTTCAGGGTTAAAAAAAAAATGACTGAGTGAACCATCGTGACTGGATGGCATCTAATTGTTTAGATACAAAGACAAATGTTAATGGGGGGTACCCACATTAGTATGTTGTCAAGTGAATGACAGTTTGGCAATCTAACCAGCCATGACCAACAACATTATTTTTATAGAGATGACGATAAAGATAACCCTTATATAGTATGAATTGAAGTCAAAAAGAAAGAAGACAATTGAGTTGAGGAGAAAAAATAATTGAGTAATCACAACTGGGATTCAGATTTTGAGAGAGAAGCAGGTAATTTTAAGGTTTCCTCAGCTACTTACATGGATTACAATTTATGTTACCAGGATGGAAACCAAAGCTTCCCCTAGCTTCTGGGACATACCTTTATTATTCAGCCTTTTTAGGAAGGTTTCCAGTCTGTCCAACTTCAAGTCTGACTCTAACTGCATGTCTGGTCTTGCTTCAATATCTAGGAAAAGAGAAACCATCAATGAGGGACTGACACTGAGGGTTCTTCTGGTTATGGTTCCTCTGGCATACTGGTCCCTGGGTGACATACCTTCCGTGGGTTTGGAAACTGGTGTTGTGCCTCTTGTTTTGCTGCAAAAAGGGGATGACACAGGGGTTATCGCTGTAGGGGATGCCAAACCTGTATTACAAACAAAGGAGCTAGTTAGCATTTCAGGATTACTTCTTGAATCACTGATGGATCTCCTAATGTAGATTTTACAGTTTATGGAATTTATACACACATATATGTGTACACAAATATATGCATTTGGCAGGTACCATGACCAGGTAGGACAACTGTAGAGGGGATTTTATTATTTCTAAAGGACAAACACTCACCAAAAATGAACAATGAAGCTATGTGGGAAAATGCATCAATGACATATAAGTGGAATGAAAGCTAGCATAAGCAGTCAGAATATACTTGAACAAATGGAATTGTGTGTTTGAAGGCCCTTTGGAGTGGTGCTGGAAAAGAAAGCATAGTTGCACCATCTCCCACAGAGGACATAGAGAACATATTAGACCACACTTGCTGGCAGGTGGTCCCAGCACTGGAGTGTTCCTCCAGGCTGAGGGAGGAATTAATTTGTGCATTTACAAGAACAAAATGAGGTGCTAATACTCTTTTTGTTTGTAATAAATATGAAACCTTAAGTGACACTGCCATGGTAAGCATCCCTCAAAGAACACGTGGATATTGTAGAAATCCTTATCACAAAAAAAAAAAGAAATCCTTGAAATCCTTATCACATACAAAGAAAAATGAATGACAAAAAGGTTCTGTTCCTTTCCCTTGAATTGAAAGTGGTATGTATTATAGATAAAGATTGTAAGGAAAAAAAGTAAAATGTGCTTTAAAACCTAAATTTTAAGTGAAATTCTAGAAGTGCTTCTCAATATGTACATATCTGTGCTTGATGAGGCCAGTAAAAAATTAAAAAATTGTTTCAATTACAAAATCTGCAAAAGGCTTATAGCAGTAAGAAACTAAACTTTCTTGAAAGATAAAAGAGAATAACATTTGGTATCACAGGTTGGTGAAGTAAATCATTACCTCTCAAAAGGATGCTTAAGAAACTTTGGAAGACACCACCAGCACAGGGATCATTTACTCTGAAGCTAGTAAACAAGCCTGACTCTGTAGGCAACCAGGATCCTGGCCTCCGCATAGTCAGGGCGCCCCCTGCTGCCCATTCGAGCAGCAGCATGAGAGACAGCTCTTGGAGGTGGGCCATGGATTGTCCAGCTAAAGACAGCGTTTTTTTCTTAATGGATGGGGCTATATTTTAAATTACACAAAGTTAAACCAAAACACTCCCCACACCTATTTTCAATGACTTCTATATGTAATAGCCAGTCATCTACTAACTTTGGGACATTTCTCTTATTCAAAGGCGTATTTTTCTTCCAGGGTAACCCTAGAATACTCATTTTTACATAGAATCTAGGATTATCAAAAAGGGCAAAAGTCCCAATGAGGGTAGGGGAGAATAGCATTTTCTGAGTAAGGGAATGAAAATGAGGGCACAGCTTGCCTTCTGGCAACTTGCTGAAATACACTAACGCCTGCTGTGAGCAGACCAGGGCGACCTGATGAGATGAGAAGACTCCAAGGCTGTAGTGGACGGTATTTTATTCTGCAGCAAGTGTAAACTGAATGTCAAATTGCTACAAATCAAAAACTGTTTATGACTCACATGAAACATATAACCCAGTAGGTGGTAATAAATACTAGAAAAATACAGTATAGTTTTTCATTAAATTAAAAGTACAAGAAAATGATTTCCTGAGCAAATGATATAGCACATGTTAAATATTCCTGATTTATTTAGGGAAATGTGAACGCAAACTCACCCACTGAGGGGTGGGAGCTGCTCTGACATAGTTCTCCAAACATCAACAAGAGCAAACCTCTGACATTGCTATGGACAAGAGCAATGGGATTTGGTAGCAAGGGTCTACTTACAAGTACATTAGAGTTTTAAGATGGAAGGGAAAAAAAGAAAGCAAAATGTCATTAAAATAAAAATCCAGGCTATAAGCTGAAAGATTTGAGTTCTGGTTAAAGTTTTCAGCTTGAGTTCTTAACCAATATGGATCTGAGGGCCTATTTTTGTTAACACAGGGATGAAGCTCATGTTAAAATAGTTTAAACATGATCATATAGTTCTTTGATTTGATGAATAGTCAAGCACTATGTCATTCTGGGAGACAAACTATCTTCTGCCATCATTTGAAAATTCCAAGATTAGTTAAGAATACATTTGTTAGAAAGAATTTCTCTACAAGATTTGAGTTAACCATAATTCAGGGGTTTTCTTCCTCCTACAAATGTTTAGCAAGAGCCTACTATGAGTTCCATTATTCATGAACAAGGCTCCTGAAAGGTTTTGAGAAAAAGTTAACAAACTTAGGATCTGATGACAATGTGAGTTAACTGTACGTGAGCGTAAAAACTTTTATTGCTAAATTAGGAAATCTGGTTTTAAATAACAGAGATGAAGATACATGCAGCTAGGTAGCAAAAGACCCAAACATAAACCATTTACTACAGGATAGGGAGTCTGAAAGTTCTCTGATGATTTTCCTGACCATGTGTTATGTCAGCCTATTTTGCAAATCTTTGGAGGCAGGTTTCAATTAGTTTCAAGAGCTTAGCCGCAAAGAAATGACCATCTGCAGGGAAATCCCACAGAGGAATTGGATACATCTCTCAGACGTCCATTAAAATATATCTGGAAATTAGGATCTGTAAACCAGACAACTCTGGTTTACTGGAAAGAGATCTAGGAATTACCCTAAAAGAGAGAACAGATAAACTCCCTCATTGAGACTTATTTGGCTTACCTGATTGCCAGATGGTAAGAAAATGGAAATAACACAAAAGTGATTATGGGAAACGACTAAGATTTGCTAGCAGATTCACAATTGGTTTTGAAACCTCTGCTGATTTTTCAAATGGCTAAGTTTTGAAATGTCACTAATTGAATTATGGTCCTTACATTTAAGATGACATTATTTTTTGAAGAAAAGGTTTTCAGTAAGAACATGTCACAAAATCAACCCTAAAAATGTTTATACAACTTCAGTAAAACTGAAAAAGGTCTCAGGCCTGATTGTTTAAATCAAGTTGTCACATGCCACACCCCCTCCATGGGTGACTGTGTGGCAGCCCCACACCCCCACACACCTACACACGCACCTTTCTTCACCATTCTGCCAGCCACTGTAAACTGAGTGGAGTCATTGGCTGCCCCTTTGCCCTTTGTTTTCCAGGCTTCTTCTCTCACGGTAATGAGGTGCTTCCTCTCCTCAATAGTCATTTGGCTTTCTCTGCTTTCTGTCACCCGCTGTTTATATAAAATGCACAAAGGAGAAGAGAGAAAAATGATAGAGGTGTGAATTTCAACCTACAGAATTTTATGAATTGAAAAGCAGGCAGAGGAGTATTACATAGTCCACAACTTTTCTGTCTGAAATGGTTTGGATTCCTTATTTCCAGCTTGTGTCAGAGATCACCATCAGTAAAAATGAAACTTGAAACTAAGACTTTGGTTTTTCTTCCCTTATTTGTTTGGAAGACTGAGACACCAAAATGACACTTTGTAAATGTAAACAAAGAATATAGGCTGTCTTTACAGCATGAACTTTAAAAGGTCTTAAAATTGCTCTGTCTTACTTATCTAGTTAAAATGAGCTGACTAGGAAGTTTATCCATATATGCTCACAGAGAACTAACTGTTATTCTAAGAAATCTCATCCACTGAAGTTCATGAGGCACATGGTCAACTATAAAGTTGAGGGAGTGAATTAGGAATAACATGTGCTATCAAAAGGTTTTCTAGAACTCAGCATGTTTCTTCCTAAAGCAAATGTGTTATATGGGCAATTAAGCAACTAGGTTAGCCCCTGGAAGCAACTTCTAAGTCATAATCTATGTAACATTGAGGATGAATCATGTTATAGACTCTCTACATAAACATATACATATATACACACATATCTACCTATGTGTGTGTATATATATATGTTTATGTAGAGAGTCTATAACATGACATAGGTAGATATGTGTGTACATATGACTATCTTAAAACATATGTACCTAAAACCAATTGCTGACACTCACTTGACCTGAAGGGAAGACACTGTAGGGGGACTTGAGGGATTGAGGAAAGGAGGCACTGAGGACATGCCTGGCGGAGGGCTCAGGGGAAGGATGAGGAGCAAGAGAAGGCAGAACAGGGCTCAAGGCCCTGTGCACCAGCTGAGGCTCCACAAGAAGAAAGCTGGATGATAAACAGGGTAATAAAGAATTTGTTTTCCCTCCTCTCCACACCATCCCTCCTTTTCGCTGCAAAAGTGCTCTTTGTGGGGGCAAAGATGAGTGAGACAAGTAAGAATGGCAGGGAGGGGCAGGTGCTGTGGGAGCTGGTATTGAAGAAGAGAAAGTATCCTCTCCTGAACAGAAGGCACTTCCCTTGGCCCAGCCCCCATGAATAATTTCCACAAAAGGGGGGTTTGTGCTTTTGCTTTGGCCACAGTGTCTTAGAGCTGAGAATGCCATTGATAGGATATTTGCTTCAAACTACAGATGAGGCCTCCCTAAACACTTCTGGATGTTTCCCCAGCTCTTCCTCCCCTTAAGGAGTTTTTCCTTGAATGAAAATTTAACATAAAATCAAAGGGCTCTTAAGACCTTCACTGACAAAATGGAAAAGTCCCAAGCAGAAATATATCCTGTGGCAGGAGTGGAGAAGTTGGGGATTCTCTTCCTCCACTGTTGTCTATCCTACTATGGCATGAGCTTCCCTAAATTCAACAACAGGGAATAACTACCATATGAAGGAAGAGAGTAGAGATTGTCACAGTTCATCTTCTTAAGGGGAATAAGAGGAATGGAGGGTAATATAGGAGCAGCATAAAACCCTATGTGCTTGTAAAATTCAGCTTAAGCCATGCATATGGACTTCTCCACCATCTATTTTATAAATATTAATTTTACAGGATTTTTTCTAAAAACAATCATAGCCAGAACTAATTTTGAGATCCTTGGTATTCTAAATTGGGGTAAAAATCTTTTCCTGTAAAAAATGATACATCATTAATAAATTTTTTAATGCACATTTTAAGTCTCTCTTCACATACACTAAAGTAAAAAAAAAACAAACAAACATATTTTGGGTTGTAAACATGTGGTAGTACCAGAGTACTTGTACAGTCAATGTTAAGTAAAAATCAAAACTTGGTTGTAAAGGATTATGGTAAGCAAAATAAGCCGGGAGGAGAAAGATAAATACTGGATGGTGTCACTTACATGTGGAGTATAGAGAAACCAAACAAAGGGTAAAAGACAAACATTAAAACCAACTCTTGACAGCTGACCACAGATCTGAGATATTGGTGAGGGAGGGGTGACAACAGGCGCGGTGTAGAGCACAGAGGACTGTGGGTGCTTTGGTGGTGGGAGAGCTACAGTGACCACACATAAGGGGGGTAAATGCTATCCTGCCAAAATACTAATAAGAATGTAAAACAATGGTACTTCAATTAAAAAAAAAAAACAGAACCTAATTTTAAAAATACATAAAAAAAAAAAAACTTTTTCTGATGAGACATGACAACTCAATGCAATGCATGATTCCGGCTTGCATTCTAGATGAGGTGAGGAGGTGGGAACTATAAGGGACATTACTGAGGGACATTGATTCAACTGGATTATGGACTGTGGATCATTGTGCCAGTGTTAAATGTCCTCAACTTGGTCACTGTATTGTGATTATGAAATCTGCTCTGTACTATCTGTTTGTATGTCCCCAAGTTTATAAGTTGAAACTTAGTCCCTAATGTGATGGCATAAGGACGTGAGGCCTTTGGGAGGTCATAAGGTCATGAGGATGGAGCTTTCAAGAATGGGATTAGTGAGCCTCCCCTGGTGGTACAACAGTTGAGGGCTGGGCCTTGAAGCTGCCCGCAGCCTCTGCAGCGCCCATTAGATCCACGGCCACCAGGCGAGGGTCCCACATGGAGCTCAGACCTCTCCTGCCGCCCTCTGGTCCCCTCAGCAGTGTACCTCGTCAGTCTGTCTGTTCTGCTCCCTGCTCTGGCTCTGGTGAATTCTCTCACCCTCCCGCGCTTCTGACTGTACCCAGTGCTTGTATAAATAAAACAAATAAATCTTTAAAAAAAAAAAAGAAGAATGGGATTAGTGCTCTTATAACAGAGGTCTCAGAGAGCTTCCTCCCCTGTCCTTTTGCCATGTAAGATGATGGTGAAGAACCAGGAATCACACCTATACCAGACACCAAATCTGCTTATTTGATAGGAGCTGGTAGGTTATTTTTTTGGATCTGAAAACATTCAAAAAATTTTCCCATATAAATGAATCGTTTAGCAAACTCAAATAGGAACATTCTAGTTTGGGATAACAGCAGAAAACTATATGTGTATTATGTTTATTTATTTAATAAAAATGAGGGGAAAGGGAGAAATTGGCAATGGGGTTGGGATTGAGAAGAGATGAGGTGGAGAGGGAGTGAATTATAATTCTAGCAAGTGGTGGATCTGGTGAAGGGAATACAAGAGTGCCTTGTCTATTATGACAATGTTTCTATAAGTTTTACATTTTATCAAAATAAAAAGTTAGCCACCAAATTAAAAAAATACTTTTCTTTACTTTCCCACTCACGATTGGAAAAATGACCCTAATTTCAAATAGCTCCCTGAGTCACATACCCTTATTAAATAAACTACGAGGTTGGCTTGCCAGGAAGACTTCATCCAAATTTAAACACAAGAGTAAGTTTTCTTGAAAATGAAGTTTTAGGAGTGAAGTTAAATCAAATCAACATGGCTTAAAATTTTCTGAAAAAACATACAATGTGCCAAGAAAGTTTGCTTCTCCAAAGATCTAGGCATCATTACTTGAGTGAACTCAGTAACACATCTCTAAAATCCTGGGTGAGGTAGTGGGGTGTGGTTGATGACTCAGAGAGATGGTATCCCCAAATTGGCAATTTTACTTCTCATAGCCTCAGATTCCCCTAGGGCTCTTGCGAGAATGTGAGCCCTGAGATAATACCACTTTTTAGAGTTTCAAGTTTCCAGTAGCTTGCCAGATCTGTGTGAAGAAGGTGTGTATGGAGGGACAGAGTATATATGGGAATTCTATGTACTTTCAGCTCAATTTTGCTGTGAATCTTAAACTGCTGTTAAAAATCAGAGTAGCCTCTTTTTGGAGGTGGACACTGGCTGGCCATATGGGTATCTAGGCTCTTACAAACTAGCATTTTGATTTCAAAGGAAAGGAACCAAGGAGAATGAGGGAAAGCCATCTCAGGAGAATGGGGAGTTTCCACTGGTGAAGACACAAGATGAAGATAGCAGGCCCCGCTAGACACCCCTCTCAGGCAGCATTCTGTGGATTTCCTAACTGAAATCCTGTGTCTCTCACTCAACAACCTGTTTTTGTCCTAGAGTTAGAGGCTATGTAGAGGCAATAAACCTCCAGATCTGAGAAGGACACAGAGGCACTTAGAGGAAGCAAGTGTCCATAGAAAGGGAGGCCAGAACCTGGGATTCACAGGAAGCTGCACAAAGCCACCTTTCATAGCTATTTTGACACAGGAGACATTCCAAGGGAAATTTTAAAAAAATCACTGACATTTTTAGCATTAAAAATGATTGTGTATTATGCACCAACAGAGTTTCTCAGCCCAGGTCAGGTCTCCCCTTTGGGGTGGGATTCAGATGGTGTGCAGTAAGGATGGAGGGCCAGGAGAAGGAGGTCTATGGTTCTCATTTCAACAGTGCCTCTGCAGCCAGCTCGTGTCTAAGTGGCCTCGTCCTTGCTGTATTATTCTTCCTGTCCTATCCACCTCGACAGTGCCTCCACCACATTTTCCTTACTAGGTTAAGCAAGACAATGTTGTTACCGAGCTGGAACAAGGAACACTTTGCTGTATCTCTTGGATTCCTAACTGAATTTAGGATATAAAGCTTGGAGATTAAAAGGGGAAAGCTTCCTTTTAAACCAATTTCATGACTATGAGGTGAGTTAATATGATCAGGTCTACCTGACAATCTGAAGCAAAGATGGGATGTGTGTAACAGACCCAAAATAAATGAATTACTGATTAAATACACATTAAATAAACATACACACAAACACAAGCAAATACACATACAGAGTAAAATGCAGGAAAGGAGTTACTTCCCCAAATGTAACAAATTCTTCACTACTGCTTAGAAATTGCAATGAGGCTTAATATCTGTAGGCTTTTCCTCACCTGATTAATAGATACAAAAGACAGGTATTTATGGGCAGCAGGTATAGCAGGAGAATAAGTAGAAGCATATACTGGTTCCTACAGAGCAAAGCAAGAGGATTAGAGGTGAAAAGAGAAGATTTATCATAGTGGGATGGGGAAAGGGAGAGAAAAAAACCATGACTTTTGTAACAGAATGTTGATTTACTCATTGCAATTTCAGTTGTCCATTCAAAAGAGTCCTTCTTGCTTGTTTTCTTTTTTTCAGAATACTGCACTAAATCCACATAAATACATTAAATATATCTAAGTCTGTTTTGTGCCGAAATCAAATGAGTTAATGACAAGATTACTGCAATTTATATAAGATACTTAGTTACGGGGGAAGAGGGAGCCATGACTTATATAAAAAGTTTACACATATAACACAAAAAGTCTTCTACAAAGAGTTTCATTACATATATAAAAAATTTTAAGGAAACAGGACAGCTCTTTGTTCTGGATAAAGGTGTATCTCACCTTGGGATAAGAAAACCAAACAGGGAGGGCGCAAAGGGAACATGAGTGTCCAGAATCACACACGGTGAGGAATAACCCTGGCTAGAATCTAAAGGACACCTAGGTTAGAGTCAGGCTTACCCAAAGCAGATTAGAAATGGCATTATCATCTGTAAATCCTCCTTCTTCCTACAGGTTAAAACAAATAGGAAAGATTGCAGACCATTGGAAGAGCAGGGTCTATTTAGGGCATCACAATCATTTTCCAGTGCTTTGTGCGCGGGTTCAATAGAAGCATGCACATGCTCACACGGTCAGGTGGCACAAGCACCAAGTAAGCTCATCCCCTGCCAGTGGAATGACAATTAATTTGGAGGTCAAACCATCACCTTTTTCTCCCTCCTAGCCTTGCTCTTTAAACGGATTTCATTCTTTTGAGTGATTTAGAATTGCAACAACAGCAAGCCATTAAAACAGGAATTACCTTCCTTGAATTTTCAAGGACTTATTTTGGAGACATTATAGAGCCTAGCTTGATCACTGACCTGATACGATAGAAGCACAGCTGGACAGTAAATCCTAACCTAGGACTCAGACACAGACACAACACTGGGAGGGCAAACTCTATAAAGGGATTTTATTTCCTGGAAAAAGTCTGGTATACTGGATGATTATCTTAACAAAAGGGCAAAGGAGTCACTGTATAAGCTTTAATATCCATTATGTCAAACTGGGGGTAGATTTTAAAATAATCACTTGGTGAAAATAAATAAATGCAATTTAGTTATAATAAAGGGACTCCTGCCAAATCACTTTTGAAAGAAAATTTGCTGTTTCATTTCCCATGGAATGAGTTACTCTGGAGGAAATTGTCCACAGATCATGCTCAAGTGCACACATTCCACACAGCGTGGACCAAGCCAAATCTACAGACCAAATGGCTTTACCATCTTTAGAACAAATAATATATACTGCAAAAGCAAAAATGCTTACAAAAGGTTAACACTACCCTACACTAAATCAAGAAAGGAGAAAAAAAAAGGAGACAAGGAGGTGAGAGAGAAAGAGAAAGAAGAGAAAGAACATAAACTATTTGTTGTAGGAAAAGGTTGAGTCAACTAGGTAAACGATTATTCTCTTAAGCTCCAAATCATCAATCCTTATTTGGGGGGATAAATTTGCAAAAAGAGGGCCTCCCTGGTGGTGCAGCAGTTGAGTGCTGGGTTGTGAAGGTGCCCGCAGCCTCTGCAGTGCGGGTTCGATCCCCAGACGCGGGGTGAGGGTCCCACATGGTGCGCGGACCTCTCCTGCTGCCCGCTGCTCCCCTCAGCAGTGTACTTCATCACTCTCCTGTTCTGTTCCCCGCTCTGGCTCTGGTGAATTCTCTCACCCTCCCGCGCCTCTGACTGTACCCAGTGCATGTATAAATAAATAAATAAATCTTTAAAAAAAAATTGCAAAAAGAGAACTGCTTTTAAGTTACACATTCTCTGAGACAAATTGAACTCTTAGTTTACTCCAAGTGTATTGTTGGACCAAAGGAATATATATTACCATGTAGGACCCCAAAATGATACTGGTTATAGCACCACAATTGTTTTTTTTTTGGAGGGAAAGATGCTTTGATAGAAACAAAAATAGTTATGGATTTCCAAACCATCCTTTTACATTTTTTAAATGTGGCTACTTGACAACATAAAGTTATATGGCTCACGGTATTTTTTTTATAGGTCAGCATGGATTTTCATAGGGGCAGTACAAGTGATTTATAGAGACCTTTCTCTAATTCTTGCCTCCTAGGCTTTTTCCACAGGCTGCAAAATCAGGAGACTATGCTCATCTCACACAAAACCTTGCAAAGGTGACTATAACCTCTCTGGTAACTAATATTTGCTGTTTGATGAATTTGGCAGTTGTGCTCAAATTGACTATAAAACCAGCTCCTTTCCATCTTTGCTAGAAAAGAGGGGAGGTTCTAGAACTTGCTCTCCTGAGCAGCATAGGGTTGGCAGGTCTAGATCCACCACATACCACCTCTGAGCACAGCTAATGTGTGAAATATACTGCTATCCTTGGGAAGAAATGTAGCCAAGGGCTTATCAGGGTCATACAAAAAGCACTTGACCTCAACAGAACCTGAGATTTCCCAGTGTCTGCTACAAAAGCCTAAAATAGATGAGCTTATTTTAACTTCAAAAGTTTACTGTCTCAGGCCAAGCTGATCTGGATCACTGAGGAGTAAGAATGGAGATTTCTCTATTGCTGCAGAATCCTTAGCACCTACTAGCTCAGAGACATCACTTCACTCTCAAGTCTGAGCTGCTGGGAGTCCAGTGCTCCTGGTCACTGGGGTTTCCACCCCAGGAAGTTCTAACTGCAGGGACCTTCTTACACCTCTTTCCTTCTAAAAACCTTAGCCAGTGTTATTGTGCTTCATACTCAATTTCTATTCCGTTTTCTTAGGTAGTAGAGAGCACGGTCTCATTACCCTATTCACAAGTGATCTATAATAGTTCTATGCTTTTTAGATTTATTTTAATTTTCACATGGCCATAAGGAACATCAGTCCCTAAGGCTTCTTGGCTTCCAAAATGACCAACAAGAGGTAATTTATTTTTGAACCAATAAGTCCAACACCTTTAAAATAAAGTTTATGGGCAATAGGGGTACATTATTTGAGGGACTCAGTTTTCTTTTGTTTAGGATCTCATTCTTGAAATTCAAATTTTACACATGCTTTTTTTAATATTTGATAAATTTACAAAAGGCTGAGAATTAAATGTCCTTAGTCATTATTTTTAAAAGCACACATGTCTCAAAAAACAATGAAAATTGCTGTTGCAATTTATTCTATGAAAACACAAAAGTATCCATCATCTCATACTATCTCAGAGGTATCCTATCTGACAGCAGTGTCAGACCTCTTGCGCAGAATATCCCACATATACAACTCCTTCTAATATATGTTTCTTAATGGGCAAAAAGGTCATAATTTCTCTCTCCCTCAGATTGTTAATTTGTTTCTGAATTAGTAGGGGTCCAGGTGATCATCTGGTTGGGAGTATAGTTTTTTCCCTTTTCTATTTAAAGACTTCGGATCTCAGAAGTTGGCTTGTGGACTATCCTCCCTGTCCACCTTGACTCTTGTCAGCAAATGTGCATTGCAATTGTAGGGCCAAGTGGCAGAAAATCCCCATCAGTTTTGCAGGTATGTACTAACTGGTCAAAAGCTGATTATTGTTATACCAACAATGTAACAACTCATCAATACTATTGCATATGAAATGCTTGCTAGTATTGGTAACAATACTGTGTGTTACATAATTTTACCTAAACTAGTAATATATTCTGCTGTGCATTCCCTATAAGACATATCTGCTCTTGTGAAAATGCCTACAATTATGAAATAAGCACTCACTGACCACAATTAAGTCCTTGCTTTGTGTACTTAGCTTTTAAATCTCAGCATGAGAAACTCAAGTTCCTATTTCATACGTGACTTATAAACTGTTAGTGGTCAATTAAAATTTTTCATTGTAAAGGCCTTAATACCATTGTGAAGTCAGATTTGACTTAAGTCTTTACACCAAAGTAAAGGTACACACTTCAAAATTCAGGAACTTGCTTGCTGATGTATTATGTATGCAGTGTTGTTACTAGTTCTACAACATTTCAAGACTTCACCCTTTCATCAGTATAAGCTGTGTGATACAGACTAAGTGTGTACCCTAAAAGCAAGAAGGTGCCTGCCAATTCACAGAGTAGGAGTTAGTTAAGTCATGCATGCTGCCTGTTTGATGCACTTGCAACGTGATGTTAGTTTGAAATGCTCTTCCCAAACATGGAGGACATTACCTTCTTCTTGAGTGACTGGTCCATTTCTTGTATGTGCAGGCTGCTGGTGATAGATGCTTTGCCAAACTCCTGCTTTCTGCTAAGTCTGTTTTTCCAATCTTCCTCACCACTCTTCTTCAACAGTGCTAATCTATGGGGAAAACAAACCAACCAGAAAGAGTTCAGCACAAAACTCTTACTTGTAACAGAACCATAATTTAGATTAAGTTAGAATTCTTTGGAAAATAATGACCACAATGATCTCATTTTAATCTTTCTGAATTTCACTTATTTTGAAGAAAAGTATATGTCTGGGAAAGTAATCTAGAAGTAGTCTCTTTTCTAAGATGACCCAAAGATTTTAAAGTAGATGAAAGGCAAGGCTGATAATAGACTCATCATCCTACTCCTATAAGGATGCCTATTTTTCCCTTGAGCTGAGAGCACAGAGCTATCAAAGAAACTGTTCCCAAAAGCAACAAGCTTTTTTGTTGTGTAGCTTCAAACATGTCTTTCCTGCAAGAAGGTTTTTTTTTTAATTAGATTTATTTTTATTTATTTATGCATACAAGAACTGGGGTGTAGGCCAGAGGTGTGGGGGTAAGAGGATTCACCAGAGACAGAGTGGGAAGCAGAACAGGCGAATCTACTGAAATACACTGCTGAGGAGAGCAGTGGGCGAGACAGGAGAGGTCTGCTGTGCCATGTGGGTCAGCTACCTGGCAGGGGATAGAACTCATGCCACAGTGGCTGCAGTGGCTGGCGATAGCTCGATAGCACTGAGACTTTGACCCCTGAGCCACCCACCAGGGAGGCCCCAAGAAGTAATCTTTTGCTGTACAAGTTTGGATCTACTTGTTCTGCCCTCTGAAAGTAGTCTAAGGCCTCTGCATAGGTAGAACTATGATGCTTACAGTTTCATTGACAACTGAATATTTTGCAAAGCACACGAGATATCTAATACTGCATTTTCATCAAATTATAAAGGTAATATATTCAAACCATAACTGTTCTAAAAAATAAATAAATTAAAAAAAAAAACCCTGTCCCCAGAGAAAAATGTCTTCTAGTGACCCCGTCTGGTCACTTGATGAAATAACATTTCATGACAAAAGTTGGATAGTACTTATTTGCAGGAATATAGTAGAAATAGGTTTATTATTTTTAAGCTACACCCTGTTCTGTCTCTGGTGAGTCCTCTCACCCTCCCGCACATCTGGCCTGTACCCTGGTTCTTGTATGCATGAATAAATAAATCTTTAAAAAAATAAAAATTTTTAAGCTACAAAACATTGACAATCTCTTATCAAACCTTTCAATTACAGGAAAATGATGATCTTTAACACTGTTTCTCTTCCTGTATTCTAAGTCCTGTTATTTTCCTTCAAATGAACTTGATCCTTCCAGTTGACCTTCTCAATGCAGAAACTATTCTCTACAAACCCATTTTTAAAATTATTACTTTAATTTTCATCAGGGGAAAACTATATACAAAAAAAGAATCTAATTAACTGAGTGTCTTACCTAACCTACTTTATAGTTCAACTAGGTATGACTTGATATAAAGGTACTTGCATATTTAATCTGTGAAAGGCTATTTTGTGAACATGAGACCGTTTCAGCTAAATATATTATAATGAATGAGGAAGTCATGGGAATTTAAGTCAGACAACTGCAGGAAAGAAAAAAAAGCAGAAAGGTGATAATCATTAAACTCATTTGAGCTGATGGTCAAATAATTAAAAAATTAGGATAAAGCCCTAGCAGATCCTTTTCCCTCTACTGAGCATGATGGACAGGGTTCTTATACTTAATTAGTGCATTTCCACAGTGTATTATTTTTAAGTAGCACATCAGCTCTCATTTGGTGATTATCTCCCTTCAAATAGCTTGGTCTCCTTTCCTTACTAGTCATATTGGGAACAAAGCAAGATGCTTTTAAAGGTCTGCTACTCAGTTTCCTAACTCCATTTATTAGTTGAATTGGAAATGGGATGAAATATATCATACTTAAGCTAAAAGTTTTGTTAAGCAAATAAGAAAACAGTTTTTACGTTTCTTAAACAAGAATCTACATACATCTCCAAATGGACATATACGTATCTATTCATTGAAAGTAGGTGATGATTGGGCCTCCCCGGTGGCGCAGCGGTTGAGCGCTGGGTTGCGAAGCTGCCCGCGGCCTCTGCGGCGCCGGTTCGATCCCCGGCTGCTCCCCGGCCACCGGAGGAGGGTCCCACATGGCGTGCAGACTTCTCCTGCCGCCCGCTGCTCCCCTCAGCAGTGTACTTCGGTCCTTCTGCCTGCTCTGCTCCCCGCTCTGGCTCTGGTGAATTCTCTCACCCTCCCGCGCTTCTGACTGTACCCAGTGCATGTATAAACAAAACAAACAAACCAGCAAACAAATAAATAAAGCATGCCTCTATAAAAAAAAAAAAAAAAAAAAGAAAGTAGGTGATGAAGAAAAGAGTTCCCTAAGGGGGCAGGAATTTTCAACTATGGACTTGATCCCCTTCCCCAATCTCTTCTTTTTCCTTCCTATCCTCTCTGCTTTTGACAGCAGAAAAGACTTCAAATACCCATTTTAAGAAATATATATTAGGTCACAGAGCTTTTCTAACACAGTTAGAACCCCTTTTCTAACACAGAACTTCTAAAACCCTTGAAATTTCCTAAGTCAGAAGGAAAAAGAAAAATATTGGATGGTTTCACTTATAGCAGGAATATAGGGGAACCAAATAAGACATCAGTGTAAAAAAATAATAACAGTACAAAACACAACAAAGCAAAACCAGACAATTGTAAATCAGAGACATCCTGCAGGGGAGGAGGAGGGAGAGGGATCAGAGGGAGGAAGGGAGGAGCACTAGGGACTGTGGTGATGGTGCACAGGTGCATTGGTGAAGGAAATTCTATGAGGACTACAATTGATGGGGTCGGTAGGGAAGCAAATATTGTTTAAAAATGAAAAATGTTGTAAACAATAAAATATAAAAATTTAAAAAATAAATAAATAAAATACACACTGAGCTCAAAAAAAAACAAAAAAAAACCCTTGGAAATATTATTCCTGAGCAATAATTGCAGCAAAGTTGTCTTTTGTTATGTTAACAAGGTGACTTTGGGAAAGCTTCTAAGGATGGGAGTAGGTTGCTTAGAAAACCAATCATGTGATAAGAGTTGGGACATTATTCCCACCCTTTGACCACCAGGGAGAGGGACAGGAACTGGATATTGAGTTCACTCTCTAATAGTCAATGCTTTAATCAATCATGCCTATGTAATAAACCCAAAAAGGACAGGGTCTGGAGAGCTTCTGTGTGGCTACACACATGGCGATTCGGGCAGAGTGACACACATGGAGAGAACACGGAAGCCCTGTGGTCCTTCCCCATGCCTTGCCCTATAGCTCACTTCCATCTGGCTGTTCCTGAGTTATATTCTTTTATAATACACCAGTGATTTAGTAGGTAAAACATTTCTTGGAGGTCTGTGAGCAACTCTAGCAAATAATTTTCTTTTTTAAAGAATTATTTATTTATTTATACAAGCACTGGGTACAGTCAGAAGTGCGGGAGGGTGAGAGAATTCACCAGAATCAGAGCGGAGAGCAGAGCAGGCAGAAGGACCGAAGTACACTGCTGAGGGGAGCAGCGGGCGGCAGGAGAGGTCTGAGTGCCATGTGGGACCCTCACCCAGCGGCCGGGGATTGAACCGGTGCTGCAGAGGCTCCGGGCAGCTTCGCAGCCCAATGCTCAACCGCTGCGCCACCGGGGAGGCCCTCTAGCAAATAATTAATCAAAACCTTGGAGGGGGTCACTGGAACCTCTGATCTACAGCTAGTCAGTCAGAAGCACAGGTGATAATCTGGACTTGTGATAGGTATCTGAAGCGGGGACAATCTTGTAGGACCAAGCCCTTAACCTGGGCTTACTATTTCCAGGCAGATAATGTCAGATTTGAACTGTAGGAAACCCAGTTGATATTAGAGAAGTGCTTGGTTGGGGGGGGAGGGGACTCTTACATATTGGAAACTGAAGTCAATATCTTACTAAGAGTGGCCTCATTTGGCTCAAGGATCCATTTGGCCCTAAGTCCTACAACCTCTGATGTTTGACATCAGCATTCTAGTTCATGTACTTGAAAACAAATTCTAAGTTCCTTTAAATGTTTTCATCTGAATTTTAGACTACATAATGACTAACATTTATCATTCCTCCAATTATTCTAAGTGAGCTAGTTTTATTCTAGTAAGAGAAAATAATAACACAATTAAGTCATTAAAAGACAATTAGTACTTGCAAGCTGCAGTAGAGATTTCAAAGGTTTCAAAGTGGCTACAAATAAGACCTTCATAAAGTAAGCATACTTTTATGCCCCAGTGAAGGAGTATTTTTAATTCATCATCTTATAAAGAGAGACATTCATCTCATTGATATTCTCCTTGCAAACTGGCCTCAGAACCAGTTCCTGTCTTTCCCCCTTTGACTCAGACCACAAGTTATTCATTCTGACTACCCATCTTTTTAATCTGATTGGAATCCAAATGATTGGGGTGAATTGAAAAAATAAAATTCTTCCTCATGAGTTGGGTGTATTAAAAATAATGTGCTATAGTCTTTGAAGATCATCTCACAAAGCAGCTCCCAAATGTTTGGAGCCATGACAACATCATCTAAATAATCATATGGTTTCCCTGGTGGCTGCTTTGAGGAATGTAAAACTGACTTAGAAGAAACCAAATTGTGGAATCTGTAATTACTTTATAGTTCACTTTATACTCTGTTGATTTGCACAGGGACCTCCAAGAAACTGGATACTGTTATTCCCAATCTGAGAGGCAAGGAATAGGAGCATGCACAGGCCAAGGGTTTCTCTGGCTGAGGTCATACTGCACGTTATTGGGGCAGGGAAATATGCCTCCCAGAGCCTGGCTTGTTTCATTGCATCAGTGTGCTAGCTGACCAGACACATTTTTGCCCTAATGTTTCACGAACAGTGATATTCTGGTTTTCTTATAATGTTTTTTCCCCTTGGATGGCCTTCAAAGAATTCCTCCATCCTAAGAACTCACATCTTGCTTCTGGATGTGTTGGCAAGGTCATCACCAGGGACTTCCAAAGACTACAGAGTAACCAAAATAATATGGAA